CTTAATTTAAATTAAATTGTGGCTTATTCCTATCAAAAATAGTAAGATTTATTTTATTAATAAACATGCATGGCACTGCGTTTACTATTTCATGTAGTGTGTGGTCGCGCGATGTGTCATTGCAGTTTTATTTTTTTCTAATCTAATGAAAATATTCCTAAAATATCAAGACATGTATTGTTCCGGTATTTTACATGAAGTGAACTTTTGGCAATTAAAGAGGAATAGGAATAGTACCTACCCCTATTGAAAAAGAATAAATCATTTTATAGCGCAGAGGGTATCTGAAACAGATAGCAACATTTTGAAGAATTAAAAAAAAACATTATACATATGAAATATACGAACATACAAACAAAATTTGGCAGGATTTAAATGTAAAAAAAAGACAAACGACAAGCTTTTCTAGATGCTTTGTCGGCAGGTTTCAAAGCCACATCTGGAAAGGGAAAACATCTTATTATTATTATTAGCCATATTGGTAGCAACTCGCGATTTGTTGAAAGAGGTTTTGTTTCTAAAAAGACTGGGGATTACTATGAGGAAATCAATGCAGATCATTATGTTAAATGGTTTTCAGATATTCTGTTAAAAATAGAACCAGGATCTGTTATTGTTCTGGATAACACTTTGTATCACTGCCAGTGTGTAGAACATTTATAATACCAACCACTAAATGGAAATAAGCAGAGATTGTGGATTGACTTACTAAAAAAATATTAAATTCAATGAACCATTTGAACATCGAGTTCCTAAAGTTGTATTTTGATTGGATGTGTCTCTCTCTATTAAATTGGCATCAAATAAAAAAATCCAAAATATTAATTTTTATCATTTGGTTGCGAATCTCTTTGTTCCGTTACTAAAATAAAATTAATGGGAATCGACATAGGCAGTAATCATATATAAGCAGTATATACAGTAAGCATATATCAGTATATACAGTAATCATATAACTGGAACTTTCAAAATACAAATTTCTAGGTAGCAAAAACAACATGACAGACATTAACACAGTATTTGAAAGAAAATTATAAATCCATAAAATGAAAATTATATTTAAATTCACAATGGACCATTATGAATTAAAATATATGATCATTTGCAGGAAAGATTGACTCTAATTAATAATAAATTTAAAAAGAAAATTAAAAATTGATTATGTCAACATGTCTTTCATGTTCTGCAAGATTTTAACACAAATATTAATTATTTTTGCCCTCTTGTATAACTATTTTACGTCAATAAATAAGGAACACAGAATCCATATACATATTCATGAGCTGTGAGTAGAACTACAATACTGTTATTTTTTAGTAACACTATATTTTATAATACACAATAAATAATTTCCTTCCCTTTTTATTGATCATCAAAGTTATTTGTGGATAGCCCTATTAGGTGTATTAGGTATTTAATTTCACTGATATTAATTTTGATGAGGCTGAGGATTTTGTGGAAATCTAATGATTTGATAACAAAGGAACCTTTTGACAATATTTAGTTGTTTTTTAGATCTCCTTAGCTTTTCTATCCTAAATATTGAGTAATTGATAGTAACCAATAATTCGTGGTATCACAATAACCAGTTAAACTTTATTTACACAGAAAACATAAGAATAACTTAATATATGAACTATAAGTACTACTGTACCACAAAAACCAAATACTTTCTAAATTTTTTTATAAATGACATTTATTAAAATTGATAACAATTAATGAATAGGGTAAAATTCTTATTATAACGTTTCCAACAAGCATGCAGTGTACAATTTTTGCCAAATACAAAACATATCATAAAGCCAGTGGTTCAAGGTAAGCAAAAAAACAGCCAAGCTAAATGATTTTACTAAAACACTTTATTAACTCTATAAAATCGTATTACATAAGTATAACAAAAAATAAGCTTCAGAAATCCCACTCTCACTTTATCAACACAATTCTAATTCTAACTTTATTGCCATGCCATGTGGTATTTAATAACATAACCTCATTTTTAACTTGTTCTAATTCGTTTTATTTTACATGCTATGACAATTTGAAAATTGAATAACTTTGAAATTAAAATATTCAGTGGCTATGGCTATTCTAAAATAAAAACAAACTTTAAAAATAACAACAAGCAAGCAAACTTAACAAACCCAAACTAAACTTCAAGCAGAGAAACCGGGACATATATTTCTTTTACCTTCAATTTAACCTCAAGAATGAAAATAATTAAATAGCACTAATTGACCAGAGTGTGAGTATTGTCCTTTCTAATTGAAATTGGATTATTTAAATCAATAGATATTGTATTCCATAATCAGAAGCAGTCTTAAATTTCATTCCGCTCTTCCTTTTCGCGCGCAGTTTCTTGTTGTCCTTTTAATTCTTTAAATACCGTTGACATTATTGACAAAGACAAATACAACTGGTGGTGGTTGTTGAAGGATAACAACCGAAGACCACATCAGTGATTTGATCAAGGCAACACTGGTCACTAGTTTTACAAATTGTGACATATGCGGAACCGGTTCTGATTTTTTAGTTTTAGCGGCGGGCATAAAAACCGTTGGTTGCTTGCAGTAGTAAACATAATATTCTAAATTACTTTTAAAAACTATTTTTAAATTAACTTGTTGCTCCAAAAACAGCAAAATAAGGCAAAACGTTAATTGTTTATAACTTTTGTAAAATGGTGATGTAGTGCTTAAATGTCAGCTTGATCTATTAATTAATTTAAAAGTTATTCAAATTGTTTATATCAGGTGTATTTTTTGTAATTACATAAGACAGAAAATAATGTTAATTCTACAATATTTTAACAAAATAATTTATAATCAAAATTAACTATATACTTCATCTAATTTACATACCGATGCACGTCATCGACGTCATAGCCCGTGACGTCACATGATACCAACACGAAATATTTATGCGACAGGTGTGTTCTTTTTTAGAATCACTTTGCCGAGTACACTGGTATTACAGCCACTAGATATATTTTATTATGTACGCGTAGAAGTAATATTTAAAAATTTCTATTAATGTTAACTTAAAGAAATACACAATATTATGTTTCATTTAATTTGTATAAATACATTATAAAGCGTTTTTATGAATAACATTTGTTCGGAACACACTGTAACTGTAATCGAACGAAGGTGAAATTTTGGCATAAATTGGTAACACTTATTTGACAGTTGCGGCGTTGACACTTTTTGTACTTTATTATTTTGAATTTTAAAGTGAATACCTCTTGTTTTATATTTTTACCTATATAATAAAATCTATTCTTTTTAGAACAAAATTAGTGTGTTTTATTTCAAAGATGTCACGTAAGAATTTAAATAATTGTTGTAAAGAGATGGTAATACTTTTGCAATAATTATGTGATCTATTTGATTTAAAATGGAGTCAGGATTTTTTATACTTTAGCAACTATGTTAACTTCGATCTCTGACGTAGATAATGACGTGCATCGGTATGTAAATTAGATGAAGTATACAAAAGGAACATTAACTTCAAAAAAGAACTAAAAAGGATACCAAATGGAGAAAAACAACTTAAAATAATCTGCTATACAGACGCAATACTAAGATCAAAGTGAAGATGATTTACAACTTATGCTGCACCAATTTAATATAACTGTCAGAAAATTCACATATTAATTTTCTCAAAAGGACAAAATGCATGGTTACAAAAACAAATTCACTAAGATGTAAATTGGAGCTAGAAGGTCAGATAATAGAACAAGTGATGGAGTTTAAATATCTTGGCATCAGATTATCTAGCTACGGAAAGCTCGAAGTGGAAGATCATGTGAATAGAGCAAACAGAGCCACAGGCTGCCTGAAGAAAACAATATGGAGAAATAACCGTATTGGGAAAAAATGAAAGGCAGAATTTACAAAACATTCATCAGACTAATAATATACGCAGCAGAAACAACACCTGATACAGAGAGGACAAAAAGGATGTTAGAAACAGCAGAGATAAAAGCACAGAAAAATTGATGGTAAGACACTATGGGACAGAGCTGGAAGTACAAACTTTTTTTTTAGCATCTGGACTTATAGATTCTTTGACACGATTATGGTATATCATCATTGGAAACTATGTATGTATATCATCATTGGAAACTAAATCCACTGAAACATTGTAATTTTGAACAAAACAAACGTCTAAAAAGAAAGTGGTACAGTAGGCGGTGCTGTAGAGTAGCGAGAAGCTTCATATTATGTTTCTGTATTTTTAAATTTTTAAAAAATTATAAAACATTTCAAAAATCAAAATAACAACTCAGCATTTTACTGTAGAGAAAGCAAATAATAAGTATAACGCCTGCATAGAACCTTCACTTTACAAACAATGATCGTGGAACTTTTACTTCACCGAATATTAATCCAAATAAAATTAGTGTTATTAAGTGGTTTGATAATAAATCGGTTATTATTGCCAGTAAATAGTAGTATTTTACCTACATACACATAGGTACTCCAAGCACGTGTCATCAAATTAACATGTTCGATAAAATCCTCAAAACAAAAATTATTTTCTTTGCGCCAAAATATTTCTTAAATATTAGTTTCAATAAAATGCATACAAAAATAAATTTCTCTCCTAAGGGTACAATGTAAATGTAATATTCTTATCAATATAAAGAAGAACGTATGTGCCGCGCCTATGGATTCACTTTGGAATTTTCTTCAGTAGATGTTGCCAAATGTAAAAAATGTTTTAAACTGGAAATATAAATTATCTAATATAACTTTAATACCTACTTCAAGAGTAGTTTATAAAAACATTTTAATTAACTTATATAAATAAAAACGTTTATATCTTACATTACATTTAAAAATATTTAAAAATATGCTTTTATAGCTATTACATCAGTTTTCATATTTGACAGATGGATGTCAAATTAATGTCACTTACCACGTGCACTGCTGCATAAACGCAATCCCATGTGTTTGGGAAATGTTAAATCTTGAGGTTATTAAATAAAACAAATCAAAATGAAGAATAAATCTGTTCGGCATAAGGATTCCAATACGTTTAAGGTGCGATTAATATTAAGTTTTATTTGTTATATTATTTTGGATTTACTTTAAGTAAATAAATGTTTGTTACATATATAACCTAAAAGTTATAAAAAAATGTATTTAAACAATATCTTTAATAATGTTTTTAATTTAGACCAACTGTATTCATTTTTAAACCCAAAGAAAGATTAAGTTTTTGTTATAATTGGTAGAATATGTTTAAACTATTGGGGAAATTAAAGTATCCAATGTTTACTTATTCATTTTAATCATTCAGCTCAGATAAGTACCAGGAATAGGTATATGAAGTAGAATTTGTTATTATTTTTATTAGCCAACATTTTGCTGAGCATTTATAATTGGAATATTGAATAAAATCAACTTATATTTGTATATACATGGACAACAACAAATGTGTAATTTCTATTTTTTTTAGTTCTTACCATTTTCTGAAAGAATATCTAATATTGACATTGATATTTTCCATAAAGTCCCCCATGAATATAATTCACAAGATGAAGAAAATGAAACGTTTTTTCAACAAACCATTACAAAATGGAGTGTTATGAATTTAAGTCAAGGATATGAAAAATTTCAACGAGATATACGTTCCTATGAATATATTACCCTTCCACAACTATTGTTGGTCAAAGATCATCTAATCAAAACTGTGTTAGAGTATGTTAAAGAAGGAGATCCCTTGTATTTGCAACCACTTTTAGAGTAAGTACCATCATATATTCACATGTACTATTTATAATGATCAACGCACTAGCTGCAACAAGTACTTTGAACAGTCTGCTAGAAAATGTTGATTGTACAAACTGTACAAGCGATACTATATCGGTTCTGCTCCAATAACTATGCAAGAATTGTTAAGTAGGTTTATCTACCAATTAATATGGCACCAGGAGTAACTAAACATGCTTATATCATTTTTGCTCGAAAAGTACATACACTCTAGTTTTATATTCTGCATTTAACTCAAAAAATTTACAAATGTCAGTTAAGTATATCCTTTTTTAACCCCTTCAAGGTTTCCCCTTTGGTCTCCTTGTTTAGTCCTTGTCTGGTGAGGATGTCCTATATTGTACCAGTATTTCTTCCACTTGCCTTCTTCTATTACTATGTTTTTTTTGTTACCATGGCAGACACTGCAGTCATTTAGTATCTTATTATCTGCTTATTCCATACCTTCATTTGTATTTAAGTTTTCCATTTTGCCTGCAACATCCCTTACAATAAATCATTATAATTATGATAATAATTATTAAGCATATAAATTATAATCTTTGATTTTAGGTTAATTGTAGCATTAGCCAGAGACCTTCAGAAAGAGTTTCATCAATATTTCCCAGAAGTTTTGGAAACCCTCATTAAACTAATGAACACAAAAAACACTGAACAACTTGAATGGATATTCACATGTTTGGCATACTTGTTCAAATTTCTTTGGAGATCCTTAGTAAAAGATATACATTCAGTTTTTAATACACTTCTTCCTTTGCTATCTGATAGCAAACCAGAATATATAAATAATTTTGCTGCAGAAAGTTTTGCTTTTGTCGCCAGGAAGGTGAAGGATAAGAAAACATTTTTGAATATTCTCTTGAAGACTGTTAAAAGTCAACCTGATGTAAGTATTATCTTATGTACTATTTGTAGAATATAGTTGTTCACATAATACATTTTGAAAATAATAAAGTCATCCAATGGAAATCTTCACATTTTATTTTCATAACTTGAAAAAGATCAATCTTTTAAATCATTGTAAATAGCGTTTTTATGAAAAAATGTATACAAAATATGCTACAGAAAATGATTTTTTTGCTGTGGAAAATCTTAGATTATAGCCTGGATTAAAAGGTAAATCATTGTCGCCTCAGTTGATTGTTTTTTGGGTCTTTTTATAATTAATTCAGCATTATTTACCATTTCAACAATTAAAGGTTTTGTGTCATAGGTGCACAATATTCTTTTGCTAAACATTAAATTTTCCTTACAGTGAGTTGTATTGAGAAGATGTAGTGTAAAATTTTGTAACAAGAACCCTATCACTCAGAAGTTTCATCCTTCTTTCATCTTCCACCTTCCTTTTTAAATGTGATAGTAATTTGGACCCAATTTCCTTCCACTAAAACATCACAGTATCTCTTCTTCATGCTTTGTTTTTTATATAGATGTTAATATCACATTACTTTACTTTTAGAGTTTCAGAATTCATCAATTTTCAATCACAAAAACTCTTCATGCTTTATTTAGAACTGTCAAATACATTTAGTATTTCTGAATAGGCTTTTTTAGATAGTATCTCTTATTCACCAGCAGAAAAAACCCTCTCAACAACAAGATATGTATATAAAAACAAAATCTAATATTTTGTTTCTAAGAAACAACCATCTTCTCCTAAATCATCCTTCTGCTGTTAATACAGTTGCCAATCTATATCCTTATCACTTGACATATGTAGAAAATAGTCTTCTATCCAAACACTCAATTCCAAGCGAAGAAATTGTTTCAAATATCAAAAGAAGTGTTGAAAATTCCAGCCAATCACATTTGATTTGAAATCACTAAATATCTAAATACTACCAAACCACATACACAATATTTTCTACAACAAAATCGCAGCTCAAAAAAATCTGTTCACTTACTCAAAGGATATATGCTGTAATGATACAATTAATTGTGATACCACACTCCAAATTCAATAAATTAAAAAATCTATATTTCCTGAAAATTTTCTCCTAGAACATAGTCTTCTCAATATTCACAATTTTAATACCAGTCACTTATCATCAAACTTATGAAAATGCTTATTAACCCTTAATTTAACTTAAGAACTCTATTAATCAAACCAATGCTATTTAAGCCTTATAATGGTCACACTTCTTTCTATGTCTACAATTCCACATATTTCATTAGATTAATTTTGCCTCTAACTGTTGACCTCCAAGAAATTGTTATGCATGTGGCATCTTTTCCAACATTTTCATCAAAGATTTTCCCATTCTTTAGGGATGATATCAACAATAACAATAAGTCGGTTGTCTTGGTTTATCTTTAGATTAATTTTGCCTCTAACTGTTGACCCCAAGAAATTATTATGCATTTGACATCTTTACCAACATTTTTATCCAAGATTCTCTCATTTTGGGAGAATTGTGTTCAATGACAATAATTCTGTCGTCTTCATTTATTTTGCAAATAAATGACTCTCTTCTACATGCTTTTCTTTGAGTGGCACTTTCAAATGAATATCTGGAATCCCAATGAATTCTCTTCTTTTTTCTTGAAGTCTTGGAGTCCTCCTCTTAAACTGAAATAATTGTACTTTTAAATTTACCCTTAAACTGAAGTAGAAAATAATCAGTTCTTTCCTACTCTTTCTATGTTAATCACTCATTGGCCAAATGGTTTATTGGATAATTTGGTGTTCAGAAAACCAGCTCATAAGTTATTATTTATAATCTCAACCAAACCATTGTCACTTACAAATGATTACTGTCATTAATTCTTTCTTAAATTGGTATTAGCAATTTAAGAAAATAAAACTACTAAAATTTTTATATTTATAGATCAAAATGACAATAAAAGTTAACATGTATTCTTTTTAGGGAGTCCCAGGATGTGGAAAGTTATTATTTCAAGTAATTTGTGGCGTTGATGGCCAATTCCATAGCTGCGCAGAGACTATTTTCCCGTTTCTGCTTGATTCGCTAACATCTGAAGGTTCATCCCAGATCATACTCTTCGAAGTGTTAGAAAATGTTATCGCTAATTTAGTAAACAATATAAAACCGCAAAAAGGAGACTTAGTTTGGTCAACATACACATCCACCCTGAAAACATTAATTGAGAAATACAGTGCTAACCCCAACGAGGCTATTATTAATGATACAAACTATGTATTGAAGTTGATAGGGCACACAGTTGAGTATAAAAGTGCAAAGTTTGTACAGAAACCTACCTCATTGATTGATATTCTCTTGGAACTACTCAACACATTTAATCAGTCTGAACAAACTGTACTATTAATTTGCCAGATCTGTATTTTACTTCTCATATCGAACAATTTGAAGCTATCTCAAGAACAAGCTTCTATTTTAACCAGAAAATTACTATCAACGTCGCACAAAAAAGTATTTTTATCTTTCGTTGACAATATCAAAACATCTTCTTCGTTTGAAGCTCTAATTTTACCGAATTTTCTACGTTACTGTGTTAAAAACGCCTTAGACGTCGAGTCCTTTCATCTTTTGGTAAAAATATTGATGCATAAGTCTCCATCTTGTGTAAACGGGATAAATTTACTCAATCATGTGAAATATAACTTGGATTTTAAAGAATCTAATGGATACGTTGTGGAAATTCTGGTCAATAAGATTAAGGAAAGTAGTAAAGCTTTACTAACTGGGGATGTCGATGACTATTATTGTAGTTTAGTGTGTTTGCCTCATGTTGCCACTAAAATAAACGAAGACATTTTTTCGCTTTTGGAAGAAATTATCAACATGCTTCTAAAGAGTCTTACCGAAGATCTTTCTAAATCAGATATAAAAAAGTCTCTGTTTTTAATAAATATTACCTTGGAATGTTTGATTCATCTACATATTGACCATAAAAGACTGTTTAAACTCTTCGAGGACCATATTTTTGAACACTTGTTGAACCTTGCCGGAAAGTTGGAATACATCAGTAGTTTACAGAGTCTTGATTTAGTGATTACTTATTTAGGAAGAGAAGATCCCGATTGTCTTTCTATGAATTTGCTCTTGAAGATAAATCAGGGTTTGAAAAATAATTTTAATTCTCCATTTCACGAGGTAAGTAAAGTTTTTTTGGTACTCTCAAACAAATTAAGTGAGTCCAATTAAGGCACCATATGAGAAACGTTTTTTGTTTTTAGTTGTATGAAAAAAGTTATTCTTTATAAAAAAAAGTTTGCATGTTCTAAAACCTAATACATACTAATATATTTTTTAGGTGCGACTGTTGACTGCACATGTATACACCGCTTTCGAGCATTTACCAGATTTCAAATTAAAACATAGTACAGATCCAGAGGCACACACGGAAGAATGGAAAGTGTTCAGCCTCATGTACAAAGTAGAATCAATAGAAGCTCATGTGCATACCTACAGAGATCAATTGCAAAGTTTAGAGAGGTTAACTTTCGATAAACCTCAAATGCTGATGTGCAAGCAGACTGCGTTCTCTACGATACCACTTCGGTATCTCTGTGGAACGTTATTTATAAATTTTCAGGTAAATTTATTTTTATATAACGCTTTCTTGGAAGGGCAAATCAAATTGGACTGCAAAATTTGCAAACTACAATTTAATAGCAACTGAGTTGCTATCAACAAGTCCTCAATATGACCGAGACGTTACATTGGATGGCACATACATTTTCGCAATTTTTTTTGTAAGAAGAGGAATTGTAAAAATTTTTAAACATGAATTATTACAGGCTATATAAAGGTATCTCTGCGCACAGTGGCGTGAGCGGTAATTTTTTCGACCATATAGCAGAAATGGCCTTGGCATGAACAGAAAGTATTACTAAATACAGGCAACATGTTAACGAGTTTTACCCAAATATTTTAGTGGCTCAAAACATATACACCTAGACACACTGATGATGGAATATAGATTCCGAAAACGTTTTGTCATTGTGATATAGTCCTATTGGGTGTTTTAATTATATACCATTTATAAAGGATTTTAATAAAAAATCTTTTTTACATCACTGTTACTTCTAAGAATTTATTGCCTACAATATACATAGAAACTTTTGTATAATAATCCTTAATTATGCGTTTATTTCATCTAGTGTTAATTGTTTGTTATAACACTAGAAAAAAAAAAACAAAATAAATTTGTGTAAAATAAACAAATAGTAAAATATTATTTTGTTCACTTTATCCATGGGATTAAAACCACAATTGATTGTAATGAGAATTACATTTTACATTTGTTTTGACGTTTCTGCAACAAAAAAAAAACAGGTTTAGAAGTTCTTTATTATTCATTATATATTTTGAATTATTTTAGCTTCTTTGGGAACCAGTCATAAAAATTATTACATCGTACGCCAACGGAATGGAAATAAATACCTTCTGGGAGATCTTTGGAGAAGAATTAAAACTTGCTCCTCAGTTGATATCGACCCCTCCAGAACCGTCTGTGGATCTACTTCAGAGTTCTTGTACTACTTTAGGAGATTTCTACCAAGAAATACAAACGCTTAAATCAAAACCTGATTTTAGCAACTACCGACTTTTGCTATGGAAGGCTTTGGTGTCTTTTGCTAATGTTGCTGAAGCAAAAACTAGGGATGTATCACAATTACTTTTGACGTTTGTATCGTAAGTATAAGTATATCTACTTAAGTAAGTAAAACCTACTTTTCCGCGGATATATTTCACAAATTGTAACGAAGATATTTTGCCTACCACAGGGGGCATTAATATGGGAGATAGAAAATTGGAGGAAAAACTAAGGGGGTGGAGATAAGGCAAGCAAAATAATCGCTACTTGTGCGAACGGCACTCAGGGTTTCGTAGGAGAGCTGGGGTCGTGGATAAGTAAAAGATAAAGGGGTTAGAATAGGGCAACTACAAGAAAATGAAATAAAAGGGTCATTAATCTCTTGGAACAAACACAATAAAAATAAACAAGAAACACCTCAAGGAATTTAATATAGGGCGCCACTTGAGGTGCCTAATTATACCTATTACAACCACTGGTCATAACTAGGGAAATAATTAGAAAACAAATCAAAACATAAAAAACATATCTTTTTCAAATAAGAATCAAAAACAGGTTTGGCTCAAAAAAATAAATAAAAAGTTAAGACAACAAAATTTAATCTTTATTTATGTGTCACCACAAACAGTTAGATAAGGAAATACAAAATACAAAACTTACGTGTCATCCTCTTACAAACTCTGTTGCTACAAAACTTACAAAATTGCATGGAGGTTAATCTTTTTTTTTAAACAAAACAAAGTAAAATCAAAAAATAAAAAAACGAGCTGTCATAAATTAACATTAAATTTCAAAAAAAAACTAAACACAAATTGACAGCTTTACTCAAAACCTAAAATTTACAATTTTAAATGTCAACGAAAGCAATTATTATTTTATAAAAAAAGTCTGTCTTTAGTTTAAAATTTGAACAAAATGTTACCTTAATTCACACGATCACACTTAAGTTTCTGAAACCATAACTGGAACTGAGGGCTCCACTCTCTCTGCATCACGAAAACCTCCATCTCCAAACTGCCAAAAGCCTTGGATAAAAGCAGGAACAAAAAAAAAAAAAACAAAACGAAGATGTCCTCCAATCCTCACTCAAAACATTAATAATTGAAGCATTTACTGCCACAAAACCAATAACAAACTGCTACATATTCTTCATAATAAAAGACGAAAACAGAACACTTTACAAATTCGACGTGAATTTGGACATAACGCTGAACCGCTCTTGAAAGCTGCTCCAACGAGAGTGACGAAATTAAAAAACTTTTCGCTTAACTTGAAAATAAACAAACACTTGACATAGCAAAACCAACAAACGACGTAGATATCCTTTGCGACGGATAAAATTGAAAAGAAATTGCCGAAGTAAAATAAACAACTCTCAAATGGTTTTAGTACTCGGCGACGAAACACTTTTGGGTACTTTGAAAGATACGAACTAACAAACACGGGAGAATTCCTCGTTTTATTTTTTAAATATATATAAGGAGTTTTTAATATATTTTATTATACGAGGAGGTTTCAATATACTCAAAAGAATCAATGAAATTGAAAATGCTACAAAATATGTTGCCAATATATAGTTGTTTAAAGTAGTACGTATTAAAATTAGGTGGTTAATTAATTAAATTTCCATTATCCGAAATAAATCCAGATATGCTCTCCTTCAAGCCATTCTACAAGAAAAAATATTTGGAAAGCGAGTTCTAGGAAGAAGAACATCTTGGTTAAAGAACCTTAGAATTTGGTTCAATACAACATCTGTGCATCTTTTCCGCGCTGCTGCAGATAAGATAAAGATAGCCATGATGATCGCCAATATTCCTTACGGATAGGCACATCAAGAAGAAGAAGAATTAATTAAAATAAACGAAAAAATAAAATATGTGGTTGTGAATAAAATTAGCAATTGATTGGCATAACTCATAAATTATTGCCAATTCAGAAAGAAGCTCACTTACCTTTGTTGAAAGGTGTTACTTGCAGGGAGGACAAGGAATCAACGTAGTACCACCGCTTGGAGAAGTTTCATCTTAGGTCCGTTTGCCATTAAGCTAATTTCAGTACTGATTTCAATACTAAAAATATTAGTTAGTTGCGCGAGTCGATTTAGTTTGAGAAATGTGTGTTTCTGTTTGCATCTATCTTAATTTTAATAAGAATGTAGGCATACGCTCTACCAACTTTATATTGATAACCTAACAATGAAGTTTGTTTTATGATTAGAGTAAACAAAACATACAGGTAAATAATGACTGTGAAAAAAGCTACAATGATGTACAGTATCTTTAATTGTAATAATGATGCTAGCAATAAAGAAAAAAAAATCATAACCTTCTTAAAAAAGAGATTATGGAGAAAAAATGGATCGAGAGAAGAGGGTTAGGCAAAGGAATATTAAATATGTTGAATGAAGATTTATTAGTAGAAGACTAATAAACAAAATAATGGCAAATAAAAAATTTTTACAAATGAATCATAATAATTTGTTTAAAAAATTGTTACGAATAGTTGAGAATAACCTCAATTTTATAAACAATTTTATATTTCTGTTTTTTGGAAGTGTTGCTATCCTTTTGTTTGTACAATTTCTTTTTTCGGCCAAAAGTTTATATTTGGTTTATTCCATTGTGCTTTCAATTCATTCCTTTCAGACTCATCTTTAGATATTTCCGCGTTATCGGAACTTTCTTCGTCGGAAGCAGTGATGTTTACATCCACACGGTCAGGAGTATTTTTAGGTACTTCATCAGAATCGGAAGCAGCATAAGATTCTTCCTCGGATTCATTTTCAGAAATATTTGAGAGGTTTTCAATTTCTTCTTAAAGCTCTTTTTGTGTTAGAAAACATCTACGTGCCATAGTAAGTCTGCAACCAAACAATACGAATGGGATAAATACCACCTAGTATAAACTACTACTGGGACACTAGAATCCCGTTTAGAAAACGTTGGTAAAATCGGTGAAAAGAATTTCAAAAATAAACAATATATATCTTAGGTTCCGTCTAGTTCCGAGGCTTTATATCGGTTCTTTGAGCCTTGTTTTCTTGTACGATGGGTATGATGCTAACCTGGCCCATTAACCCTCCTCTTTTATCCGGGCTTGGGACCGGCTGCGAGCATGAACGTGGTTTCTGAGGTACTCAATCCACTCAGCCATCGCGCTCATAACCTCCAGGCAGAGTTATTGGGAACAAAGAAATCCAAATATTAGGTTATGCAAACGACGCCGCATTAATCGCCGAGACAGAAGACGAGCTCCAAAGATTAACACATATCTTCAATACAACAGCTAAGAAATACAATATGATATTAACAGAAAAAAACCAAATGTATAACATGTAAATACCCACTACGGTGTAAAATCGAAATTTATGGGAAAATAATAAAGCAGGAAGCAAGGTTTAGATATCTGGGAATAGATATAACTAGTTACGGACATGTTGAAGAAGTTTTACGACAACAAAGCTTAAAAACAAGTAAAGTGGCGGATCTCCTAATGACCCAATCTGGAAGGACAAACACCTAAGAAAAGACAAAAAAAAGAATCTATAAAGCAGCAATTAGACCTATATTAACATACACGACGGCGGAGACAAGACCTGACACATCTAAAACAAGACGGCTACTAGAAACAACAGAGATGAAAATACTCCGACGAATATCAGGGAAAAGTCTGTTAAACGAAAACAGGAGTGGAACGCACACATCAGTAGAAAGATAGAGGATAGAATAGTGCGAATAGCATGAGATAAGTCACCAAATGGACGAAGGGTATTGGCATACCAAGAAAAAGATGGTGCGAAAATTTAAACAATCTAGGAGGCTAATATTGAAGAAGAAACAGGCTTTAAAGCCTACATAACAGAAGGAAGAAGAACAATATATATCAGCAACTAAATTATATATAATCCGTTAAAAAAACAGAGCAGCCACTTTTTCTTTACTAAAATTATATTATTTATGAGTTGCTCATGCACGTGTTTAGTTGACATCAACTTATAGGTTACAGACGTGATATATAGGTTGCATACTAATAGGTAATGAGTAAGGAATATCTAAAAATACGGATATGTTCAAATAGTCCCATGGGCTTTGGGGACAAACATATGCCAGCAGATTTTTTTAAACCCACTGGAACATATATGTCCCCACAGTAATGAAAGGGTTAACTAGCTGCTGTCAAATCAAAAAATCTAGCTGAGCAAAAACTGCGCATGGCCATATGTGCTACTATAAACCTCACTTACGACTATATCTATCTTTTTTACTACTGGCTAAAACCCATCTTGTATGTACATATATACACTATAGTGTTAATACAAAATACAAATTCAAAAAAATCATAGTAAAAAAAATACATAATTTAGATGTGATAAAATCGGGTAACGGAGATGGATTTAGATATCTTTAAATTTATGATAAAATTTGTGAAAGGAGGATTTGGTTGTAGACCAGTGTAATTAAGGGTTACATTAATACAAACTGTTTGAGAATTCGTTGCTTAAATGACTAATTTTTGAATTGGGCATGCCCACAGGATACTCACGCCGAAATTTCACAACTTGCTCGCTTTTGCTTCTTCTTGCTTGGTCTATCTCTTTCTTTTTGTGGATGTAGAGTGAAATATATTCGAGGTTTGGTAAATTCTTTAGGTTAGTGATGTGTTTTTCGTCTTCACTATAAAAATAGTAAAATAATTGATTGAAATATTGTGCCTTTGTTACATACGACTTATTTTTAGTACAGAGTATATGGTAGCCAGTTCGGACTCAGTACCTTCTCAAAGCATTAAACAAAATGTTCAGACAGATGCCCTCGATGAAAGTTGTGCTGACAAGGACGATACAGAAGATTCCGAAGAACGCCGAACCAACAAAGGCAGTCGTAAAAATGGCAAAATATTGATAAAGTAAGTACATTATTTTATATTTGTGTAAATAAACATTTTTCCATAAAATTTAGTTCATGTTATCCATTAAGTATTCTATTATTAGTGACCACGACCGTGCCACGTTTCCTAATCACGAGTTGAAATGTGTTTAAAGAAACTTAAAAACTATTACTTAGTGTATACTTTTTTTGTATAACATAAAATTGTCTAATCTAATGCAATACATAGATAAAGTGTTTCTTGCGAATTAAAACCAACTAATGTTTTGTTCACGTTTTAGAACGTTATTGCAAACATTGAACGTTTTTGCACAATTCAAGAGCCCTTTGTCGATGTACAGAGAACCGGAACTTGCTAAGCTCTACTTCGATTTGCTTCAAAACAAAGATTCTGGAATTCAAAAAGCCGCCCTCGATTGTATTTTTACCTACAAACACAAATATTTATCCCCGTATAAAGAAAGTCTGTATAATATGGTCGATGATAAGAATTTCAAGAACGAAATGACTACATTCAGGGTAGATAAAGACAGCAATTTGGTTCTATCTGAACATCGGTAAGTAAATATTTAATATCTTTATGTAGATCCTTAAGAATAAAACCGAAACTTTCTGTGACCAGACCTGTATAAAAATACTAATAACATATAACAAAACACTGAAAACGTTTTCAAAACTTCCACAAAATTTATTATAATATCTTAACACTACAACTGTTTTGGTAGAGTGCCTAACAACAACTTAGGCGAGTATATTAAAAACAACAAGTGCCTAAATAAAAAGCACTAACACAGTGGTGTATACAAACTTAAATGTGGTTACTGCTCAAAAACTTACATAGGTCAAACTTGTAGAACTTTTAACAAACGTATAGCAGAACATAAAAAGGCTTTTAATAATAGAAAAACATATTCGACATATACACTTCACCTTCTACATCATAATCATTATTTAAATGACGAATTTCAAATTCTTAACATCCAAAATAAAAGCCATAAGCTATCTTTATTAGAATCTATAGAAATTAACAAATTAAAAAATACAGACATAATGCCGAATGACCATTTTGACGCAAAGAATCTCGCCTCCTCAATCTGTTCAGTTAAAAACTACAAAATGTTAGCACATACCAAAAGTAGATCACTTGAGAAAGGCGCACTGCCGAAACAGCTGTAGTGATAAGATATTATATTAGATATTATAAATTTTGTAAGTTTTGAAGTGATTCATTTTTATATAAAATGAACTTCCATCAAGTAATGGTCGAATCCATCACTTATACTAATAAAAATAAATTTATTTTAAAAATCCCATTTTACTGTTAACAGAGATGGCTTGATTCCAATAGTGATGCAAATAGTTTTCGGAAAAATGAACATTAAAACAGGCTTAAGAACGGGAGGTAAATCGTCGAGCCAAATGAGAAGAAGTACAGTTTTCAGATTCCTAGCTGGGTGCCAAGAAAAAGAACTATTGGGATTCTTGCAAAAAGTTCTTAGAGTGTATAATAAGTTCCTCGTCGATGATTCGTTCGATATGGTAAACACAGTTTACAAAGATTGCAACTTAGAAACATTTTTACCGCCTAAAAGATTGCTAAGTACCATCAATTTGTTGGGAGTTATTCACGAGCAATGTGGAGGTCTGATGGGCGATGAAATTTTGACGTATCTCTTAAACGTCATCCTCGTTATTGGTAAGTCATATTTACTCTTTACATAATTATCATACTCAAAAAGTCATTGATACAAAAACTTTCCGTACAATAAAAATAAGTAGGTGTTAGTGTAGTAGTTTTCTAGAGTGACGTTGTGGTGTCGGCCTAATGTTCTACACATAATGAAAGACAGCTTTTTGCTGTGATCACATAACCTCACATTATTTTATTTACAGTATACAACAGGCCTTGTAAACCTAAGGCAAAAAGTTACATTACAATATTTTTTGTTCAGTTGATCTGTCATGGGTATCTTCGCATTCTAATATTGTTTGTCCGGCTTTTCCTCTTCGTTATGTTTATTTAACAGCGCATCGTAGAAACTTTTCCACTCAGACATTACATGATCAGTCTTCTTTCTTCTTGATGTGCCTATCAGTTACGAATGTTGGCAATCATCATGGCAATCTTTATCTTATCTACAGCAGCGCGGAAAAGCTGCACAGATGTTGTATTGAACCAGATTCTGAGGTTCTTTAACCAGGATGTTCTTCTTCCTGGACCTCGTTTTCCAAATACTTTTCCTTGCAGGATGGCTTGAAGGGGAACATATCTGGATTCATTTCGCATAATATCTCCGAAGAATTGTAACTTTCGAGATTTGATGGTGGTCAGTAGCTCTCGGTTCTTATTCATTCTTCTGAGGACCTCATCATTTGTGACTCGGTAAGTCCACGGGACCTTAAGTAGTATCCGATATAGCCACGTCTCAAATGCTTCCAGTTTTCTGCACATATCTTCGCAGCATTCTTACTTTTGTATCAAGAGAGAGGTTGTGACTCTTGTGAATTATTACTAAGGATAAAATTGAATTCTTAAGTGGGTGTCATCAACAGTAGGTATGCTAACCTTATTATATTTTTTATCAGCTAAGGTGACATATTTTTAAAAAGTTTCGATTAGATATTACTGTTGGCGTCGCAACACAAGAAGGTTATTTTATTATTAGAGGGCGGCCATTCTCAAAATCTGGACAATTAATTTCAGAGCAGAAGTCGTCTGTTAGGAAAGAATGTACAAAATATTTTATTTTTTCATTGTAATTATGACCTCTGAGTACGTGTCAAATTTGTCATGTGTTCCTTTAATGAATATTTTGATTCGCTATGTATGTCTTTGCATTTCTTTATTTGCATTTCCTAGAGTCTTTAAGCATATAATCTAACTGTACTCCCTAAAACGACACTCAGTCCTAACTGCAAGACGCAAGAATCTCGCTTGCGTCTTGCAGTTAGTCTTGTTTTTGCTCAAATCTTGCACAGTCACTCTTGGTCTTGGTCTTGCTAAAATTAGACAGTCGTGGTCTTGATCTTGGTCTTGCGAAAACGCAAGAACAAGACCAAGACTGCAAGACCAAGACCGACTTTGGGCAACACAGATTTCGATACAATTCTAAAAACCTTAATTGTTTTTACTCGCATATTCTTAAAAGTAGTGTGTAATATAAAACAAAATTGAAAATGAGTGATTTGTATTCGTCTTTTATTAAGTTTTAATAAAAATCTTTAATTTAAGGTCATGTTTCCTTTTATAGATTTTTGTAGACTGTAGTTGTGATTTTTATTGCGTTTTCGTTTTTGTTTGTATGGTTATAAATGCAATTTTATTTGTTTATTATAGGTAGTCACTTGAAGTTTGCATTTGACCACATTTCCGAAGTACACGCAGGCTATCTCGCAATAATAAGAAACCTAAGAGTATCGTGTATCAAAATAGTAGAAAAATTCTTCGACCATTTCGATCAATACCCTTGGACAACACGACAAATTGACGCCCTATTTGCAGTCTTTGTTTGGCCATATTTAGACAAACTGAACATTGAAGGTATACACAGTCCGACAGCTCTACTAAAACTAATAGTTCAATGGGGATCAAATCCCAGATATTTCTGTTTGTTGGTAAAGTATAGAAACGTAGATCCGAATCAGTATATTTTACCGCATGTTTTGAAGTTGTTGGTTAACGAAAAAAGTCACATTAGTGTTGTTAATGTGATAGAAGAGATGTTGGAAAAACTTCTTAGTTTGCAACCAGACGAAGACGACATTAAAAATGCTCTGCAAGTGAACGATGTAGTCACGATTGAACAAGATATTTTAGATAAAGTCGGCATCGTAGATAACTTGAACTATGGTAGTATGATTCTGCTTCCACATGTTTCTATTATTCTCTCAAAAATAGAAAAGAAACTCTTGACCAAATCTAAAAATCTGAACCAGAAAGAATTGTTCATACTATCCAGGATTTCCGAGTTAGTTTGGGATCCTTTACTCAGCGATAAAATATTGGATCTCCTTTTGCCGGTTGTTCTTAAAAAGTGTGCAAGATCTTTACCCGAAGAAGTAGTTTTAAAGTACATTACTACAATATTAAATCTGATGCAGAACGTTGCAAAACCAGAGATACATTTGAAACAAGTGTCGCCCTTGTTCTTCGAAGTGTCATATCCTTCTAGTAGAAAACTGTTGGTCCAAATAGTGAACGTTATGTTCAAAAAGTCTGACGGTTTAAAATTGATATCGGAGTTAGTAGGTGAACTGAACGCTTTTGATAAAAAGTGGGTGGATCAACCAGACTTCGAAAGGCGCCATAATGCCTTCAAAAAAGTACAGGAATATCTGTCAGAGGGAAAAATAGATGCAAAGTTAGGAGTTATAATAATATATAACTGCTGTTATTTTATATCTCACGAAAGTGATCTATCAGCAAGGGAGAATAGCTCACATACCCTAAAAAAGGTAGCTGTGCATTTAACTCAAAATTATCCTAGACAATCTGATTTGATTTTGAACGAAACTTTATTTAATCTCATACGAACTGGTTTTAAAAGTGTCAAGGATGAAGTCCGACATGAGTATATATCTTTGTTGGGTCATCTAGCTAGAGAGTGTCCTGATGCACATTTTATCCTTAGGGATTTGAATAAATACGCTAATAAAGCTGATCCTGAAGTTGATTTCTTTGAAAACTTAATCCATCTTCAATTACACAGACATGCTAGAGCGTTGCTAAAGTTCTGCCAGATTACCAAAGAGCAAACAGAATCACCCAATCCAAGAACTCTTACTCAATTTATTTTGCCCTTGGCTTCTCATTATTTATATAAGGAAAAATACGTGAGCAAAAATAGCGTCATTGATGCTGCAATTGAAGCTGTAGGTGTGGTTTGCAGGATTCTACCTTGGCATCAATATGAAGGAGTATTAAAGTATTATTTGTTGAAGTTAAGTGGAAAATTGGAGTACCAGAAACAGCTTGTAAGATTAATTGTTGTTATTTTGGACGCTTTTCATTTTGATCTTCGTCATGCACATTATGATAAACCACCAGTACAAGAAGATAAAAATAAAGTCTTTAAAAAGCGAAAAGACAATAAAAATATTGTCCTTAATGGGACACATATAAATAAACAGATTGATACTATTACCAAGAGTGAAAATAATCTCGAAACGTCTAAAACTGAAGATGAAATGGAAACTGATGGTATTAAAGAGTCGGAGGATAATAACGAAGAAGTTCTGGAAGATCGTGATAATAACCAAGAGGAGGACGAGGAAAAAGATGTCGATGAATTCCTTGAAAGTGAAGATGAAGTTGAAGATGAAGTAGAGGAAGATGCCGTTGAAGAAAAATTAAAAATAGTAGAGAAAGTTACTATTTTATGTAAATCGACAGCTACTAGGATTGTTCGAACATTTGAGGTAAGACTGTTTTCAAAATATTTTTATATATCTAAAGATTTCGTGGCATTAACTTTCTTATTGAATAGTTATCAATACTGAACATATATTTTCACTGATAATCCAGGAATAAGTTCTAAGTTTACTAATTTAAATATTATCCGAGCGTGTTCAAGTTTTTTTAGGTTATGTTAGGTTAGGTTCTCCAAATGACCATGTTAACTAATTTACAGTTTTTAAAGGGCTTAACTGGAATGAAATACTAAATGGCAGGGATTAACAAAACTTATAACGTTTACGTCGATGTCTAACCTATTACGTTTGTTATAGGTTAGTTTATTGTAAACATTTAGTCTATTGTAAACATATATACTGCCCTCCTAATCTAAAAGGGCGTATCTCAAGGAAAGACAACTTTGGGGAATGAGCATTTTAGTAAATCCACAAACCTCACTCACTTCTCACCTTTCATTTACATTTTTAAAAGTGGTTATAATCAAGTTCTGTGTATATTTTATAATAATTATATTGTAATAGTTTGAAATTGAGGTTAAATCTTTGTAAGTGGATATATTTAAAAAACCCTTAAAAGAGCTACATCAAATTAACACGAACATTTTCGGAATAATAATTCCATCATAAGGTTAAAAAGCAGGTTAACATGCCTGAGCCATCAAAATATTAGGGTAAAAATCCTTTAAAGTAAATAAGGTTACCAAAGATTGTACATATTGTTGTTAATAATAATTGATATTTAATTATATTTTACTTCAGGTAACATACACCCATGCCTTACGTGAGTACCAGCGTCCGGAGAGTAGACCTCTTCAAACGGACTTCAGCTGGTAACTGCTGAAGATGTAGCCCCTTTAAGGGTTTTTTAAATATTCCCACTTACAAAGATTTAACTTCTTTTTTTGTGATACGTGGTATACAGCCAGCTGCAGGAATTTATTTTCTTTGTGGATTTAGTTTGAAATTAGCCGCATCGCCGATTAGGTCGCATCTCAGATTTAATAATAATAATAATGTCAACGTATTCTGCAATAAAAAATCTTTTAAAGTTAATTTAAATATTTTCATATTCTTACATTTTTTTATTGGCTCTGGTAACTTATTATATATTCTTTGACCTATTATTGCAGGTGAGTAAAAATGCATATTTTCCTTTAGAAAAAGGCACATGCAATTTTTGATTCTGCCTTGTATTTTTATTGTGAATTTGACTATTAATTTTAAATTTATCAAGATTTAAATGAATAAAAACACAGACTTCAAAAATATATAAGCACGGCACAGTTAAAAGTTTATATCTAGTAAAATAACTCTTACAGCTAGTTATTCGAGAAATACCAGCAATACAACGCACTATTCTTTTTTGAGATAGAAAGACTTCACTGAATTTACAAGACGTACTATACCAAAATACTATGCCATACCGCAAACGAGACTCCACCTAAGCATAATACAGCATAATTAGCTGTTTTTCACTTAGCGTATCTTTGAGGTTTCGAAGTAGGTAGCATGCTGAGTTTATTTTGGAAATAATATCATCACATTGCCTTTTCCAATTGAGACACTCATCAACATACAAACTCAAAAACTTTAGGCATTGAACTTTTTCAATTTGTGTAGAATATATTGATAGTTCGATATCTAACAGATGTTTCTGTCTATTGTGGAAGTGAATAGCATGCGTTTTATCCGCATTAAGATGTAAGTAATTTGAGGAAAACCAATAACTAAGATCACACAAAAGTTCGTTACATTTATTCAAGAGATATTTGTGATTTATCTGATATAAGTATTGAAGTATCATCTGCATAAAGTGTAAACTGTACAGCAGAATTTACTGAGACAATATCATTTAAGTAAATAAGAAATAATATTTGGCCAATTACAGAACCTTGCGGAACACCCATATGAATGTAAATATAATCTGATTTGCAAACATTTTCTGAGTGCTGGGATAAATCTGTTAAGGAGACGTACTGACGACGTTCTGATAGGTAAGATTCTATCCATTTTAGAGAGAGATCTTTTATTCCAATATTTTCTAATTTATTAATGAGTAAGGTATGATCGACACAGTCAAATGCCCTACTGAGATCACAAAAAGTTCCAACAGGGCATTCATCCGCATCAATATAGTTAGTTACAGTCTCATAAAATGAATGAACTGCTGTGTTTGTAGACTTACCTGCCTGAAAGCCATGCTGACATTTATTAATAATACCGTTCTCCAATAAATAAGAGTTTAATCTGTTAAGATAACAGTATTCGAATATTTTCGAAAATACTGAAGGGACAGTTATTATGCGATAATTATTAATATCCTTTGGATCACCTTTCTTATGTACAGGAACGACTTTTCCCACCTTTAGATAATCCGGGAAAATACCATTGCAAAAAGTCAAGTTTATTAGAAATGTTAAAGGATTTAACATTTCTAATAATTCTCAGATTTACGACCTTTATGCTAAGTAATATAAGACGGTAAATCTGCTTAGGATTTCATGACTTTTTTAGATACGTCTTTTTTAATAAGTGATTTTGAAGTACTTTGACTTGAAATATGGCTTTTTTGCTTGATATATAGATAAGGAAGTTGTTTAAAAATACCGTGCCACCAAAATATCATTAAAAAAAAGAGATACGCCCTTTTAGCTTAGGGGGGCAGTATAGTATATAGTAAGCGCAGTAAATATATGCACAATTGTTAAATTCAAATTGTAGTGACATAATAAAATTTCCAATTAATCTTTTAATTACTTTTAGGTGGTCCTCATTCCAAAATTGCACAAATCTCTTGCGGAAATGACGCATCATGAAAGTTCGCATAAAGTAAATAGAAAGAAGTTAGGATTCGAAAGAGAAGAGGAAGATCTGTTACGTGTTCCGATTTCTTTGGCATTGGTTAAGCTATTGCAAAAGTTGCCAGAAAGTATTTTGGAACAGAATTTGCCAGGGTAAGGACTGTAACAAATTAAAGTTTTTCAACAGCATGGTGTGAATAAGGAGTCTTATGGCCCTGTAGTTTGTACATTGTTGTACATCTCCCTTATTTTTATAGACATGTACTAATACACTGCTTCTCCATTCGTCTGGCATTTGTTCAACTTCCTTAATTCTATTAAATAGAACTGTTAAATAATTTGTGGACATTGAAGCCGGAAACTCATATCAAAACTTCAGGCTTTTGAGCTATGGCTATACAGAAGGATCTTGAAGATACCATGGACAGACGAAGTCACCAAGTACTGCGGAGGATGAACACAACCGCGGATTTGGTCAACATCGTGAAGGGCCGTAAGTTGCAGTACTAGGGACATATAATGAGAAATCAAGGCAGATACGAGCTAGTTCAATGCATTTTGTAAGATAAAATTTAAGGAAAAAGGACCCCAGGACGAAAAAGAATATCTTGGCTTGCTAACCTGAGAGCCTGGTATAGAAAAACCCCAACACAGCTATTTCGTATTGCAACCAACAAAGTCATCATAGCCAGAATGATCGCCAACGTTGGGAACGGACAGGCACCCTAAGAAGAAGAAGAACCAATTTATTCCCTGTCTCTTTTAATCCTTTCCACACTTCTCCAACTGCTTTTCCTTTCTTTATTTTTTGAGTTGCTTGAGCAATTTCTTTGTTTATTTTGGTAACCACTGCTGCTACTGTCTCCGTTAACTCAATTGGGTGTCTGTCAAATTCTTCATTTAATAACCTGTCAAAGTACTTTTCCATCTCTTTTTGACATCCTTTTCTTAAATTAGAATTGTACTATTTTCATCTCGGGTATACCTAATCTGAGTAAAATATTTTGCTCTCTTTGCTCTATTTTTGGCTATTTTATAAATCTTGGCCTCTCCTTTCTTGGACTCAAGTTGATCTTGTAGATTATTATTCGCTTCTGCTTTAGCTTTTGCTACTGCCATTTCGGCGACCGTATAGTTTTGGAGATCTGTGTCCTACCTATTTTCTTGCCTCTATTTATATAATCTTCTCTTCTCAGGACTTCCTTTCATGTTCCAACAATTTTTTTTACTAGTTTTGCCATAAATAGACCTTTTTCTCATCTTTTAACATTTACCACTTGATTTTTTGCACGTTCCCAACAAATAAATTTATTACAAATCATTTTTTAAAAACCCGTTTTCGACTGTGAGTTTTGTAATTGTTGCAGTCAGTAGTATTTTGCAAAATTGTAGTGTTTTGTAATTACAGTATTTGTAGAACTTTCAAATTTGGTTCTTCGTCATCTCGTCAGTGTCTACTTGTGCCGTCACAATGTAGTGTGTTTTTTATAGTGTGTATTTTTACCAATATTTTTACTAAAAAAAGCATATATAAAAAACGACTAATTAGAGCTTTAATGTTTTAACTCTTAGACCAAGCTTACATACGTCAAATGCCTACATGCCCATAGGATGTAGTTAACACTTTTAACGTTTTTTCGATGATTTTTAGATAATTTTTGGACGCTTTTTCGATATTTCGATGATCTTTTAACTGTTTTAATGCTCTCGACTATTTTTCTACGACGTAGGGTTTTTTATGGGACTTTTTTTCCGATCCTTCTCTCACACTTTTGACCATTGACACATTTGTGATAACTGAGAAGTTAGCTACATGTCAGCAAAATGTCGACGTAAAGTTAATCACGTGTCAATTGAAGTATACAGTATTTCAAGTTTCGCAAAAGCGGCAGAAAGAGCCTACAGCGTCGAAAAGTGGCAAAAATGCCGAAACAGTGACAAATATATTAAAAAAAGCGTCTAAACCGATTCAAACGCGTCAAAAAAGCACCATGTAAAGATATGTGACCAACGCATTAAAAGTACGAAGAAAGTGTAGAAAAAGCATGAACATTGGTGAAAGAGCGTCAATATAATCAGAAAAATCGCCAAAAGTGTCGACAAAGCAACTCATTCCAACTTGTGGGTGTCAGTTGATGTGATATAAGAGTCAAAGGTAAGCTTTGACTTAAATGTCTTATCTATTGACGAGTGTCCTATGAAATATCTTTTCTTTTATCCGTTTTTCTGTTCATAATTTTATTTTCTTACTTTAATTTCATAGAGAGGCAAATACTTTTTTCTTTTCTCACAGACAGTAACTGGTATAGAACAGTTTAACCGATTTTATTTGATTAAAAACAGATTTTTTTGATATATCTGTGTGTTCGTTCAGGAACCAATGTAGTCAAAACACCAACGGATATAAAAAAACTGATGGTACCGAAAAAACTAGAAAAGGCATCTTTACTGGTAAACTACGATTACTACCGATGTCAACCAATTCATATCAAAAGTGGTTTAGTATTTGACCAGCTACTTATTTTGATCTACAAAATGTTGATGATGTAATAAACGTTGTTACATACAGTGTATAAATGAAGGGACACAAAATAGAAAAAAGAAGTAGAATGGAGGAGACTCGTGTCGTCAAAATTGCAAGAGATAAATCACAAATCGGCAGAAGATATATCGGACGACCGCGCAAAAGATCGAGTAACAACCTTCCATAGAGGTTTTAAATCGCCAATGAACAAGCAGAATTTCTTAAAAAGATGAAGAAGAAGAAGAAAAAAATGTTGATAACGAAGTTTATGTTATCATCTCTTCAATGATCTATCCTATTAACTAAATGCATTCCTTGAAGAAGGAATCACGGGTAAATGAGTAACTGTTTCAGGTCAACAATCATCTCAAAACATTAAATAATCGGTAATATTGGCAAGTTAGCTTGGGCAGCATTCGGTAAACTGAACTATATACTCAGAAATCAACAAATTCAATTACATCTTAGATCTAAAGTTTTTGATGCATGCATTATTCCGATATTAACTTATGCGGCACAAACATGGACAATCACAAAAAAGAATATGAATATACTTAGAGTCACTCAACACGCCATAGAAAGAGCAATGCTAGGTATATCACTTAAGGACAAGAAAACAAACACATGGATAAGACAGAAAACCAAAGTCACCGATGTGGTGCAAAAATCATTAAAGTTGAAATGGGAATACGCTGTACATGTAGCTAGGAGCGATCTAAACAAATGGCACAGATCAATTTTAACCTGGAGACCATACCAACACAAAAGACCCAGAGGCAGACCTCCTATGAGTTGGACAGATGATCTCAAAAGGACTGCCGGGAAAAATTGGCTACAAGTAGCGTACAATAAAAAACAATGGAAAGGAAGACTTGAAGAGGATTATGTTCAGATGTGGACGTGAATGGCTAGACGAAGAAGAAGAAGATTGGCAAGTTAATAGTTGTGAGGCAATGGTCAATACAAAGATTAAAACTTCCTTTTTAAACTTTTTTGTATAAAAGCTTTCCTTTAATATGCTTTCCTGTAGGGATCAATGAATGATCGTTCACCAAGAGATTAGACCCAACCAATCATCGTACTATCCATCCATTGGCTGATTCGATTTACCCCAAATTCTCATATTCCTCTCAAAGCTGCAGATCCACTTAGGATTTTGCACTACCACGTTTAACGGTTGGTATGTTACTGGAACCAAATACCCACTTATCTAATTACATCGAAATGAGTCTCCCAGCCTGATGAATTTATGAACATTATGCACAGTTGACTTTATGCAATTGTAATGCAAATTTTCATTTATTTCTAGGGTATTTATGAAAGCATGTACATTTTTGAAATCGCACCTCGAAAGTGTAAGAAAAGTGGCAAAAGAAACCCTTCAGAAGATTATGATTACTCTAGGACCAAAATACCTTTCATTGCTCATAGGTGAAATGACACCTTTGTTAGGAAAAGGATTTCAAGTTCACGTTTTAGTTTTCACCATTCATGGAGTTCTTAGTTGTTTGAAAGAGTACTACAAGCCGTCGGATTTGGACCAAATATTGTTGACTGTGTTAGATGTAAGTATATATCCTTTTATGAATTATTCAGTAGTTCTACAATAGATTATAGCCTATATACTCGAATCATTTTTAGAGAAACTTATGAATATATTTTTACTATTTTCAGTTTTGTACTACTGACATTTTTGGTACGTTATCAGAAGAAAAGGAAGTCGCCAAGATAGCTGTGAAAGTAGCCGAAGCTCGTCACTCAAAATCGTACGACACGTTGCAAATTTTAGCCCAGTACATCACCGAATCGTGCCTTCTTGACCTGATCCTACCAGTTAAGAAAGTTCTGGAAAAATCGCATTCTTTCAAAACAGCTCACAAAGCGCAGGAAGCTCTAAGATACATTGCGTTAGGTTTGGTTGACAATACTTTTGTACCTATAGAATCCCTATTGAAGTTTGCTTACGGTACATCTTCTAAAAGTATCCCACAGTTAATCCCTAAAGAACCGGCAAAGAAGACGGAGAAAGAAGTCGAAAAAATGAGGAGGGAGAGAGAAGACTGCTTTATAATCCAAAAGATAGCTGGAAACAGGGATTTGTATAGGTTACAAAATGTTAAAACCTCGATTAAAACCAACGCTCATATTCTGGTCGAGTTTGGATTGAGATTATGCTTTGTAATGCTGAAAAGAGAAAAAGTCCGCGACGAAAGTTACAAGATGTTTATTGATCCGTTTATAAATGTTTTTAAGAATTGTTTGAAGTCTAAACATATCAAGGTGAGTTCAGTTATGTGATTTATGCCATGTAAAACTGTTTTTGTGCATACATGTTGCTATGAAATGTGTCATTTTCTTATTCTAGATTCTTGTATCTTTAATATTTTTGTTTTTCGATTTAAGGCAACAGTGTGAAGAATTTTAATATTTCCAACTACTCGTAATGTTTTTTCAACAAAATATTAATTACTATTTATAACTGGGAATAAGCCACAATTAAAGATAAAAATACGTTTATTGACGTTTCAATTAGTAGAAGTAAATTAATTATTAATTAATCAATTTACTGTTTGTATTTTGAGAACGATTTCCGAATTGGAAATTGAGACGTCAATAAACTTATTTTTATCTTTAATTGTGGCTTATTCCCAGTTATAAATAGTAATTAATTTACAATGCCACAAGAAAATAGCTTCAGAACAATATTAACAAATTAAACAAATTTTGTTTAATTTTCTTTAGAAAACAAAATATATAGAACTTTATTCAAGTTTAAAGATATTTAACAAGTTATCAGAGAGGATTAATTACACCTCATTACAGTAAGACTCCTCATTTTTATGGAGTACCGAAAATTCATAAAACGAATATACCACTTAGACCCATTTGTAGTACCATGAATTCTCCTTGTAGTGAATCATCAAAATTTTTATTAAATATTTTAAAACCATTTACAAATAAAAATGACACATTCATAAAAAATACACAACATTTTTTAAATAAATTATCAAATATTGAATTTAATTCAAATAATACTTTGGTAAGTTTTGACATAAATAGTTTATTTACGAACGTGCCATTAAATAAGACTTTAAGTATAGTCAAGACAAAATTAGAGAGTGATGATTCCTTGGCAACTAGAACAAGACTAAACATATCGGCTATAATGGAGTTGAAATCGTAGGCTTCCACGGCCAGAGTCAGAATTATAGTTTATTCGTCTTCCGGGTTTGGACCGTGTCATTTGTGAGTGACCCAAAAGTGGGTTCATCTCGACGTTTCGCTACAATTATATGTAGCTTCTTCAGGAGAAACAAAGAAAAAGAAAAAAGAAAACAAAAGAACAGGAAGATGGGTAGTTAGCAACGGTAACTCAGTTACTCAACGCAACCAGAGGCGAATACTAACTACCAAGATGGGCATTTGGTCACAGTAACTCAACTACTCAACGCAGCCAGAGGTGAAAACCAAATGCCAGGACAGGGATTCACGTCCAACAGCTCAGAACACTAACGCGTCGAGAGGCGGGGAGTGAATCCGACGATTACTCCGCTACCGCTCTATTTATAGTCGCGGTGCCTGTCGTGTCGGGACGTATCGGCACACTTCGTGGCGCGAACGTCAAGAAGCGCGCGCTGGCCAATCATGTGGTGGCGGGACCGGACGGTGGCTCTAGACTGAGATTCCAGATGGGAGACAAGTAGTATCCTTCCTCTCGATTGATATTATGGGGATTTTTTCGGATCTCTAGAGATTCGCGGATTTTCCTGGAATAAAAGAATGGGCTCTTAGAAATAATATGGGTTTTTTCGAACAATATGGAATGACCGGTTTCTTGGCAGTGTTCGGCAACTGCAGAATGGGAGAAAAGACCTGATCGAATGCATCTTTGATGCTCTTGAATCCGAGTTTTGACGGAACGACCAGTTTCGCCAATATACACATGTCCACATGAACAAGGAATAGAATAGACACCACAGGAAGATAGGGGCGGTAATGGGTCCTTAGGAGAGGGTAGATACTGTGAGATTTTCTTGGGTGGTCGAAAAGTAGTCCTGATACCTTCTTTGCGAAGAATTTTGCCAATCCTATCAGTGACATTTCGAATATACGGAAGAAAAGCCACAGGAGTATTACCCGAAGATTCTGAATTTGTTGTCCTAGGGTGTAAAGGGGGATGTAGATGTCGGTGTGTAATATTTTGAATTGTGGACTTGGAGTAACCATTGGCGACAAGGGTTTTTTGCAGATGGCCAAGTTCTTCTCTAAGGTTGTCGGGTTCAGAAATCGGCCATCTGCAAAAAAAAAAAAAACCCTTGTCGCCAATGGTTACTCCAAGTCCACAATTCAAAATATTACACACCGACATCTACATCCCCCTTTACACCCTAGGACAACAAATTCAGAATCTTCGGGTAATACTCCTGTGGCTTTTCTTCCGTATATTCGAAATGTCACTGATAGAATTGGCAAAATTCTTCGCAAAGAAGGTATCAGGACTACTTTTCGACCACCCAAGAAAATCTCACAATATCTACCCTCTCCTAAGGACCCATTACCGCCCCTATCTTCCTGTGGTGTCTATTCTATTCCTTGTTCATGTGGACATGTGTATATTGGCGAAACTGGTCGTTCCGTCAAAACTCGGATTCAAGAGCATCAAAGATGCATTCGATCAGGTCTTTTCTCCCATTCTGCAGTTGCCGAACACTGCCAAGAAACCGGTCATTCCATATTGTTCGAAAAAACCCATATTATTTCTAAGAGCCCATTCTTTTATTCCAGGAAAATCCGCGAATCTCTAGAGATCCGAAAAAATCCCCATAATATCAATCGAGTGGAAGGATACTACTTGTCTCCCATCTGGAATCTCAGTCTAGAGCCACCGTCCGGTCCCGCCACCACATGATTGGCCAGCGCGCGCTTCTTGACGTTCGCGCCACGAAGTGTGCCGATACGTCCCGACACGACAGGCACCGCGACTATAAATAGAGCGGTAGCGGAGTAATCGTCGGATTCACTCCCCGCCTCTCGACGCGTTAGTGTTCTGAGCTGTTGGACGTGAATCCCTGTCCTGGCATTTGGTTTTCACCTCTGGCTGCGTTGAGTAGTTGAGTTACTGTGACCAAATGCCCATCTTGGTAGTTAGTATTCGCCTCTGGTTGCGTTGAGTAACTGAGTTACCGTTGCTAACTACCCATCTTCCTGTTCTTTTGTTTTCTTTTTTCTTTTTCTTTGTTTCTCCTGAAGAAGCTACATATAATTGTAGCGAAACGTCGAGATGAACCCACTTTTGGGTCACTCACAAATGACACGGTCCAAACCCGGAAGACGAATAAACTATAATATAATGGAGTTATTAACATTATGTACTGATAATACATATTTTCAACTAAATAATGAATTCTATAAACAAAATTTTGGTCTAGCAATGGGCTCTAGTTTATCTCCATTCTTAGCCGATATATTTATGGAAGATTTTGAAACAAATATTATTTCTAAACAAAATTTAAAATCCACAGTATGGTGGAGGTATGTAGATGATGTATTCTCAATATGGCCTCATGGATCAGAGTTGTTGGACACATTCCTAAATGATATAAACGATAAAGAAGAGACAATAACATTAACCATGGAAAAGGAATATAATAACACGCTACCTTTCCTGGATGTTTTAATCTCTAAGAACGATACTGGATATAAGACTCAGGTGTATAGAAAACACACACCAATAGATATTTAAATTTCAAATAAATCTCAATATTAATGTAAAAAAGGGAATAATTAAATCCTTATACGATAGAGCCAAAATTATTTGTTCTAACGAAAATTCGTTCTTGGAGGAGAAACATTTGTTAACATCTGTTTTATTAAAAAATGATTATCCTTTATCGTTTATAAATAAGGAATTTTCAACAATCGATCGAATAGAACAGAACAACTTAGAACGAGCTCCTACAGCATACACACGGAATAATACGAGGAAAATAACAATACCGTACATAAAAGGATTATCAGAAAAACTTAAAAGGATAAGAAATAAATTCAACATTTCAACAACATTCAAAACAACAAACACGTTGAGATCTATTTTGTCCAAAACCAAACCTAACAATGATCAAGAAAGGACAAAGTATTGCATTTATAAAATACCTTGTGAATGCGATCAGTTTTATTTCGGTGAAACATCAAGGCCATTAAATGTTAGAATAAGTGAACATCAATCTTATATTAAAAATAGAGAATTTGATAGATCTCAAATATGTAAACACTCATGGGATAATGAACATAGGGTTTAATGGAATAATTCAAATGTAGTCCTAAAAGAAACGGATGGTAAAAAAAGAAAAATCAAAGAAGCGGCTCTAATTATGCTAAATGAGGCCAATTGTGTCGCAAATTCCTCGGCAGAATGTAGTAGGATCTGGTTACCAATATTGAAAGAGGAAGTTATTAATAAGAAAATACCAGTATTAGTAAGTCAGTAACATATAGAGGATACATCATTTATGTTTTTTAAATAACGAAACATATAAAATCAGAACTTTGGTGTTTATTGAAGGTAAACTAATTGCACGAACAAATACTTACCATGTCGGGATAGTATTATGAGGTTTTTTTTCCTGGTTTTCCCTCATAATTTACTATGGAATCACTAACAGGAGAATTTTACTGTCATCATGTCATGTGTTTGTCTTTTTAAAGACGAATTACATGCTATGATTTTTTTTCTGACAGATATTCTCAAGTTAAAGTTGATTTCATGTAATCGAATGAACTATCTTATAAGTAAAGTCGTCCCAGGAGCGCAACTCAACAATATTGGCAATATCATTTTAAAGTCATCTACTTTAAAATGCATAATGTATGTCTGAATTGTCAATATAAATGAGTCAGATAAAATTAAATTATTAGAAGAAATTTTCACTATGCAACAAAAAACAAAATTTGTTTAATTTACTGTTTGTATTTTGAGAACGATTTCCGAAGTGGAAATTGAAACGTCAATAAACGTATTTTTTTATCTTGAATTGTGGATTATTTCCCAGTTAAATAGTAATTAAAAATATTACTAATACGTGGCAGCCGTAGCTCAGTGGCTATGTTACTGGCTTAACAAGCTGGAGGGCCCAGGTTCGAATTCCGAGACCGACAAAATTCTCAATTTCTAATTTAACTGAGCTGTCACCGTGCTTCGGAAGGCACGTAAGGTCGTCGGTCCCGGCTACGAAAGTAGTTAAGTCATGTTGTCATTCTGTCGTCTGTTTTATTGAAACAATTAGGATGTTTTTCAGTCTCAACAGCTTCTCGGATAATGCTTGATTTATAGAAACGAGTGGGAATTATAGTTCTGGAATCTTACAACTCGGTTTTGTAACCTGTATAAAAAAGAATGGGGCAGAAATTGGGTCTGGTTTGAATTATTCGGTTAGTTTGACCCATATAAATTCAAAATCAAAACAAGAAGTTTTCTAAATTATTTCCAACATCTCGTAATATTGTTTTCAACAAAATATTACTAACATAAGTACTATGTAGTGGATACATGAAATTGTGTTAAACATTAACCGGATTCTGTCGTCTGCTTTATTGAGAGAAATAGGATGTTTTTTGGTCTCAACAGCATCTCGGATAATGCTTGATTTATAGCAACGTGTGGGAGCTATAGTCCTGGAATTTTAGAACTCAGTTTTATGACCTGTATAGAAAGTGGGCTTGAAATTCAAACCAGACATTGGGTCTGGTTTGAATTATTCGATCGGTTTGTCCTATATAAAATCGTGGAAGTCTGGAAAAACAATTTCATAAACATCATGGTTTGCTATGTTGCATGGATAGGACAAGAGATGAAAGTTTGTGGTGAGTAAATATTGTTTTATTTAGAATATTATTCTGTAGGACGGACTAATTTTATTGATTTTGTCAGTTATTTGATGTTTAATGTCTAATTCCTTTGAAAGGAAGATATATGTCTGTAGATGATTGTATTAACACGATTTTTGTGGTAATCCTTTTGGATGAGAGCTTATTTTAGAGAACTAAATTTTGCGGATCTACTTGTATCATCGTCAAGTCGTATTTATCTGGGGGCAAGGGTATTATTAGCTGAATTAATTTGTAAAGGTCAATGATAACAGTTAAAAACGGGTTGCACATATGGGTTTCGGCAAAGAGGTTTAAATAAACCTTGCGATTGTTTTTTTTATGACGATATCTAGGATTGCAAAGGTGAATAAGTTTCTATTTCCATCGTGAATCCAATACTACTAACATTTACAAACAAATTCAGACAAATTTAGATTATTTCAGACATATTTTCTGTTGCATGTCAACAGGTATTGAAAGAAAATAGTTTTTTTAATACAATTCGTACACTGTATTTTATACAATGATATAAAAGCTGATAGATATTGTTGAAAATAGGAAATATATAAAAGAAAAGATGATCCAAGACGTGTGGTATGTTAGCTCCTTAAGACATTGCCAATACTTACTTTATCGTGTCCGGGCATGTCATTCATAAAATTTCGGCCCGGTATCGTCGGTTCCATCTTTGTTGGCGAGCCACAAATCTTCGAGGGTACATAGATGACGACAGTTTCTGCATGTAAGAAGATGTTCCATATTCCGTGCTTCTCCATAGTGACAGTTCACATCATCTTGGTCGATTTTTCCCCATTTTGCCATGTTTGATTTTACTGGAGCGACCCCCGTTCTTATCCTATTCATGGTTTTCCGCGTTTTAAAGTCTAGAGACTGACTAGTTTATTGAACCTGGAGAAGAGGAAAATACTCAGGCGGTTCATCCTGCGCTGTCCGCGATCTGTTTGATTTTCTCTATGGATTCTGCAGCGCCTCTGCGTGTTGAGCGTTCTGCACAACCCGCTGCTTTATATAGATTTGAGAGTGGCGTTGGTTTCATGCACCCTGTTACTATCCTGCATGTCTCATTTAGCGCAGTATCAACTTGTTTGGTATGGGTATATCTGCACCAAACGGGGCACGCATATTCAGCAGTTGAGACACACAGTCTCTATGCCGTTGCTCTTGAAACGCCAGAACGTCCGCCCCATTTACTTCCCGTTAGCTTTCTGAATATGCTGTTCCTAATTGTTGCTTTCCCTCTCGTTTTTATGCAATGTTAAATGAAATCGTAGGCTTCCACGGCCAGAGTCAGAATTATAGTTTATTCGTCTTCCGGGTTTGGACCGTGTCATTTGTGAACCCACTTTTGGGTCACTCACAAATGACACGGTCCAAACCCGGAAGACGAATAAACTATAATTTATGCAATGTTGTCTGTAGGTGAGGGACAGGTCCAGAGGTACTCCAAGATATATAGGTTGGTTTGTGTGTTCTAATGTATTACCATTCCACGCAATTTTGAATTTTCGCTTGGCTTCCTTTGCGCGAAGGTGGAAATCGCAGACTTGGGTTTTAGAGGGATTGGGTCTCAGGGAATTCTGCAGGTAGTATACTGACATGTCAGCATAGAGGAAGTTCTTGGTTTCGGTTGGCGTAGGTTGGTCGTTTGTGTATATATTGAAGAGCATTGGTGCTAAAACACTTCCCTGTGGGACACCGTTTTTTGAAGTCTCCACCTACTTAGTTTACCCTCCAGCACAACGAAAAAACGTCTGTTTTGCAGTAAGGAATATACGACCTTATCTAGATGGTGGTCATTGAGAGTGTGGTATAATTTGCGGAGCAATGTTTTGGGCCTCACTGTGACGTAGGCTGCTGTCAAATCTACGAAATCAGCCCCTGTTATAAAATTTTCTTCAAAGCCCTCTTCAATATGTTCTGTTAGTGTGAGGACTTGAACGGTGCAAGATTTGCCGGGTCTGAATCCTCCTTGTTGTGGGCGCTTGAGGTGCTTGTCGACATTGCCAATGACTAGATAGAGTAAGTACTTCCTCAACCCATCTTTTAATGTACTCTGCTTAATTTCATGGAAAGTTTAGAAATTAGCCAAGTTATTTTAAATTGCAAGGTCAATGTGAAAACTTTCCATCTTAGTAGCTAAAAATTGTGTCTGAAGAATACGTTTATTTCTCTATATCCCCCTGTGCATTACTAGACTATAGAGATTTGGAAATATCTGGAAAATATCCATTGGTCTGTCGTCTGCGTTTTAATGAATTTATACAAGCATATATATATATATATATATATATATATATATATATATATATATATATATATATATATATATATATACTTACATTTTTAATCCCTTATTACAGTTGAGCAGTCTGACATTGCAGTCTTTGGTATGGGTGATGAAATATGATTTACCTTCGTTGAAGCTCCATATCAAGTCTATCGTGAAGGAGATCTTTGCAATTTTACATAAATATGCTTCTGCCGGACTCAGTAAAGGAGATAATTTCGATTTGGTTGTGGCTGCTTTTAAGGTAAGTTCAAAATATATTTTATGTACCTAACCCTATTTTGTAGACTAAAAATGCTCTTCACTGGATAGATAGTTCATCACCTACTCAACAATTATTACTCTCCTTGCAAATGTCACAAGTTAAATCAAAATTTCAATTGATTATTCTCTCCCTGAGAATAAACAATTTTTTGTAGCAATGGGCCAAAACAAAGAAATCTAAATTATTACTTAAGTCGACTTACTTTAGATAATCATCTAAATCTTGTGTAACTTGCCAATGTAATCTTTTAGAAAGTGGGCACACTTTCTCTTTTTGTGACCACATAACAGGCTAATCAGTATATCGATAGCGACTGGCTTCGGTTATCTACTAACTTGCTTGATTGCACGCTGTATCAATTCTTTTTTTTTATATATTAATGACTTTAAAGAAAAGATACAGGGTCTGCTGAGCATTTTTAAATAAAAGTAAATTAAAAACTTATAAAGCAAGCTGCAACAAATTTTATCTTACTGTTATAGGCTATGGCTGTCCTAGTCAGAGAAGTTAAGTACCACAGCATAGACACTAACCAACTTAAAATCCTGCTTTTGTACGTTGAACAAGACATACACGATTACGAAAGGCAAGCCACAGCATTTAATTTGCTAAAAGCCATTTTGTCCAGGAAAATAGACGCTCCTGAATTAAGTGATGTTATGCAAAAGGTAGCAGAGCTCAGTATAGTTTCAGAAATGGACCACGTTAGAGCTCAGTCCAGAGCTGTTTTTCATCAATATCTTATGGATTATCCGTTGGGAAATACTTTGGAGAAGCATTTGGGTTTTTATATCTCTCAGTTAGGATATGAGCTCAGATTTGGAAGAGAATCTGCGATTGAGATGATTATGACTTTGATTAATAGTTTTCCATTGGTGAGTTTTTAAATTTATTCAGTAAACAATAATTAAAGTAATATTAGATGATCGTATATATTTGAGAAACATTCTAAGGAAAGTAGTCCAAGAACAGGGTTTGTGGCTTAGGCGTTACAACTTTGAGTTCTACAGAAGTTTTGGGGAACCTGATGTTGTAAAATGTACGCTTTCCATGGATAGGACATTCGACCGAAGAGGACCAGTGGGAAGATGATCCAGAGGAAGACCAAAACTTAGGTATCAAGATAACATAGAGGATGATCTAAAATCCATCTGAGTTAAAGCATGGAGAAGAGTTGCCAGAGACAGGGGCGAATGGAAGATTGTTCTGAAGAAGGCTTTGGCTCATGACGAGCTGTAATGCCATGGATGATGATGATATATTTGAGAAATATATTTAAACACATTTTTGATTTTTTGCAGTTTTATTTCCTTTTTATATTATTTTAGGAAGTACTCAAGTCACACAGCGCGACATTACTTGTAACTTTAGGAGCTAGGCTAATCAATGATGAAGAACCTGAGTGTAGAAAGAGAATAGCCGAATGTATATCTGCCATGTTAAAAAAGCTGCCAAAATCAGATCGAGATCCTTTGTTCGAAATTGTAACCACGTGGCTCAAGGATAAAAATGTAAGTTTTATTATTTTATTCATTAATGCCAAAGATTATTTTAAACTTTATGCAATAAGATCAGGTAATATCTTAATTATAAACAATAATACATGTAAATACAGAAACATAAAGCAAAAAGTTCCCTGTTTTGAGTGGGGACCCCCAGAGTGGGGCTCTGCAAGGTATCTGATAAGTTTTTTTGAGGTTTATGGACTTCAATAACTAAAACCGCTATGTTTCCTACAGTGTGTTCGGTGGATTTTTTAATTTATTAACAATTTGAGGCCAGAAATGCACCCTTCTAAGTACCTTCGTCTACCAGTAAAAAGTAATGCATTTTAAAGGATGTTTCATGTAACTGTCTGATAAAAGACGTTTAAAACTTTAAAATGGCGATTTAACATGCTAATTTACTAATTTTTTGCATAGAAAATTGTAAAAAACTTAAGAATTGAGGAAACTTTTTAACAAATATTAATAACTATTGTAAAATGAACTGTGTCATAAATATCCTTAAAACTTCAGAGTGATTAGTTTTAAGTTTCGTCAAAATTCTAGTAGGCTCTGGGGAAAATTAGATGGGGCTTTTCTTCTTCTTATGGTGCCCTATCCAATTAGTAGATGTTGGCGACAATTCTGGCATACTCCTCTCGACCTTGTGTGGCTCTAAAAAGTGCATGGGCATCGACGTTTGTCCAATCCCTTACGTTTTTAAGCCATGAGTATTTCTTTCTTCCGATGCCCCGTTTGCCTTCTATCTTCCCTTCCATAACAAGCTTTAAGAACTGGTACTTGGAATTTCGAAATATATGACCCAGATAAACAGTTCTTTTTATTATTGGCAGCAATTCTCGTTCTCTGCCCATTCGATTTAATACTTCGACATTTGTTGTCTGATCTGTCCAGGAAATTTTAAGTAGTCTTCTAAATACCCATATTTCAAAGGCCTTCAATCGGTTCATCCTAATTGCCTTTATGGTCCAGATTTCTACACCGTATGGAGTAAATGTAACATTTTACAAAGCGATATCGAAGCGTTAAGTTAAGGCTGCTGTTGCTTAGTAAGGTTCTCATATTAGTAAATGCTGTTCTGGCTGGTAAATGCTGTTCTGGCTTGCTCAATCCTTTCGTTCTCCTTCAGTGTTTATTCTATCTATTAGTCGTTGTAGCGCTTCTTGGCTATCAGCTATTATGACTGTATCATCAGCATAGCGAAGATTACTAATAGTCTGTCCGTTGATTTTGATTCCATCTTCAGTGTCACTTAAGGCTCTGTCGAAAATCGTTTGAGTAAAGATTAAAAAGGAGGGGTGACAGAACATAACCCTGTCGTACATCTTTTTCGATTGAGAAATACTTGATTCATATAAAGGTTTTTTATGATTTTAAGGTCATTCTCATCTATCGAACGTTCCTGGAGCAATCGTACTAATTCTGAATGATTAATACAATCGAATGCTTTCTGGTAATCTATAAAGCATAGGAAGACATCTTTTTGCTGATCTCTGCATTTCTGAAGTAGGACAGTTAAGCTATAAAGTGTTTCTCTTGTGCCAACTCCTTGTCTAAAACTGAACTGTGTGGGGCTAATGTCTCTTTCACATCTATTGTATATTCTTGTGTGAATTATCTTTAAGAAGAGTTTTAAGACCTGGCTCAATTTTTCGATTGAGAAATATGATGTAGATTCCAGTCCTATTCTCACAGATGCCACTTGATTCATATAAAGGTTCTTTATGATTTTAAGGTCATTCTCATCTATCGAACGTTCCTGGAGCAATCTTACTAATTCTGAATGATTAACACAATCGAATGCTTTATGGTAATCTATAAAGCATAGGAAGCCATCTTTTTTGCTGATCTCTGCATTTCTGAAGTAGGACAGTTAAGCTATAAAGTGCTTCTCTTGTGCCAAATCCTTTAAGACCTGTAGATGCTTGGGCAAACGCAGTCCAGGACGAAGAAGAACCTCATGGTTGAAGAACTTGCGAGATTGGTATGGTGTAGATACAAGCATGCTATTTAGGGTGGCAGTGAATAAAATTAAAATAGCTATGATGGTAACCAACGTTCTGAAAGGACATGGTACATGAAGAAGAAGATGCTTGGGATCAGTAATTAATTTATTGTCCTTCACAATACTGTTAATGTTTTTGGTTTTGTATGACCTGCCACTTCTTTAACGAGTTTATGTATGTTAAAGTGGTCATGTTTTGTTTGATGGGGCCCAAATAATATTTACTAATGATTTTAACACATTTTATTTTAGTTATTTTAATCTCAACTTATCTCCTTTGTTAACTTTAAGAACTAGCTCGAGCTTAGGGCAAGTCAATCAGATGGTCGACCAGGTAACACATCTGTTGCCCAGTTTATAGAGTGTTAAACCCTTTTTTACAAAAGGACTTAAGAGAATTTCACAGGTTGGCTGCCGCATGTACCGCAAGCTGTAATTTAAACATTAGTACCAGACCGGCCGATCACGCGGCACTTAGAGATAAACCAGAAATGATCGCTGACTGATATTTATCGTTTCTGGTAATATACGTGAGTAATTTGTCAGCAGCCAACCTGTTCATGATATTCGCCCTTTTCAGTTAAACAAAAAATAAAAGTTTTTCTTTTCCTTTACTAGTAAAATCATACTACTTGTTATTTTTACTTGAAATTTTGACTGACGTTATACAGTGAATGCCAGATGTCAAAACTGAGACTTTGAAGCCACCTTTGTATATTTCATTTGATTTTTTTAACTATTAATAATTTTTAGGTTAACCACAGGAGACTTGCCGCACAAATCTGTGGTATATTTGTTACCATAGAAAAATCCAGCTTTGAAACAAGACTGTCAAGTGTCACATCCCTATTATTAAAACAGTTTGGTATCGATAATACTCCCGGAAGACTAGTAAGGATAAATAAAAAAGAAGAAACGTTTACAGAAGAACAACAACGTTCAAAAGATCACCATCTCTTCCAAGTACTTCAGCTGCTTTTAAAACTGTCCGCAAACTGTCCATCTTTGTTCAAGGATACAAATCTAATTGAAAATTTGGCCGTACACATTCAAACTTTGTTGGCGTACCCTCACGATTGGGTTCGGTTAGGATCGGCGCAATTTTTAGGTTATGTTTTGGCGCATTTGGATATTGACCATATAACAGAGTTATTGATGTCGGACACGTCAGATGAAAGCGGGTATTTGTGCAGCGATCCTACAAACGCTGTTAAGTCTTTGACTTTGGATCTGTGTGATCAACTCCAGCCAAAGAATGTTAAAAGTGATCTGGCTGAGCAGGTAAGCTATAAACACGACTTATTAGATTAAGCTATAAGATTTAAATGTTTTGAGGTGGTATTTTAAAACTGTTTTTAAACAATGATATTTGTTACTTGAAATTTTTATTCTAGATAAAGCTAATAACCTCGAAATATAACACAAAAAGAAACAATAGTTCATTTAATAAGGAGATAATAATGAAAAGGCTATAGCGGTATAAGATGGTCAAAAGTGCCCCCAAACCGATCAGCACCGCAACTTTCAATAAAGCATATGAAAATATGACTTCATACATATTTTTAGCTTCCCAGATCCCATCTATCTATCTATCTAATTAGCCTTCTTCGGTCCATCTTTGAACATAGGCCTACCCAATCCTTTTCCATTCTTCTCTGTCTGTCGCTACGGTCATCCATTTAGAGCCCACGTGCTTCTTGATATCATCTGCCCATCTCATTTGGGGCCTTCCTCTGCTTCGTTTATATTCCCACGGTCTCCAACTTATAAGAATTTTGTTCCATCGGTCTTCTTTTTGTCTTATATTGTGTCCGGCAAATCTCCATTTCAATTTTGCAACTTCTTGTCTAACATCCCTCACTTTTGTTTTCTCTCTTACTCGTTTCTCTTCTTATCCATTAGTCTTATGTGCAACATTTGTCTTTCCATTGCTCTTTGGGTTTTTATGATTTTGTCCATGTTTGCTTTTGTAAATGTCCACGTTTGGGAGCCATACGTAAGAACAGGGAGTACGCATTGATTATATACTTTGGTCTTAAGATGCTGTGGATATCTTTTGTTTTTAAGAATGTAGCTTAGTTTGCCAAATGCCGCCCATGCCAGTCTAACTCGTCTCTTGATCTCTGCTGTTTGGTTCTCTTTGTTAAGTTTTATAGTTTGACCAAGATATATATATAATCCTTAACTTGTTCTATTTCATCTTGTCCGATTCTCATTGTGATGTCTTCATCTGTATTTGTAAAATTATTCAAATTTTCAATAATTTTTTAGGTTATATTAATACTTTTTAGCTAACTTTTAAATGGTCAAGGCAGAATTTTTAATTTCTGAGCGGAAAGCATCGATCTATTGTAAGTCCCCATTTAACTCTTTCATAAAGATAAAATGTGAAAATACAACGTTTCTTTTCCTTTTCGTACTTTTTTTACCTTACCTCAAAATCAGATAGTTAGATGTATGTTTTTCCATCATTTTCTTACGGGTTATGAATCATCATTGTTAAAATAATCAATTTTAACTTACAAATTCTCAAATTGTGAAACAATCGTGTTTTTCTAATATTTTCCCACTTTATTGGCTCATAACTTTAAAATCCAGTAGCTAAATGATCGAATTTCCGCGTATTTTTGATCGCATCCTTCAATTTTGTTATACCACTTGTCTTTGTTTTCTTAAATAGTCAAAACTTAAAAAAAACTGTTTTTACGCATTATTTCTATTTTTGACTCGTTAATTGCATAAAGTGATATATCTCTAGGATCACCTCGATAGGACAAGAATATAATTATTATTTTTTAAATATTTTTTTAACATTGTAAAAATTGTTTTATAAATTCATTTGATAGTGATAAACCAACAGAGGACTGCGCCAGGGAGATGCGCTATCGTGCACGCTGTTCAACCTAGCGTTAGAAAAAGTTATGAAAGATTCACCTATCAAAAATGCCGCAGAAAACATCAGACTTCTGATTAACATCCAGAAAACTAAATATATGCCGGCCATATCAAGAATTCAGCAAAATAACTTAGAGGTGCAACACGAAACGATAGAAATGGTAGAAGAATTCTGCTACTTAGGATCACTGGTAGACGACAAAAATAACACATCCAACGAGATAAAAAAAGAATATGCGTGCCTAACCACTGTTATTTTGGCCTGGGCCCTCAACTAAGAGCGAGAAGTATGTCAATAGCAACAAAGTGCAAACTTTATAAAACAATAATACGCCCAGTGCTCACATACGGATTGGAAACATGGGCAATGACGACTCGAGATGAAGAGTTACTACGAGTCTTTGAAAGAAAAGTATTGAGGACCATATATGGCGGAGTAAACGAACAGGGTCTGTGGAGAAGGCGATATAACTTTGAACTCCATAGACTTTTTGGTGATGCAGATATTGTGAAGACCATCCAAATAAACCGCCTAAGGTGGGTAGGCCACGTTATACGGATGGATGGGAGTGATCCCACTAAAATAACTATGCTAAACAGGCCTATCGGAAGAAGAAGAAGGAGGCGACCTAAACTCAGATATCGGGACGATGTACAGGAAGATCTGAGGGATATTGGAGTGAGGGGCTGGAGAAGGCAGACACTCGATAGGGAAGGATGGAAGAATGTTTTGAAGCAGGCCAAGGCTCACGAAGGGCTGTAGCGCCAACTGATGATGGATGACGGCTCTATGTTCCACACAGCTCATGCCACATTGGATATACTGCACCAGCGATTTGAGGTTATGGTCATCTTACGTGGAGTTGATGTGAACTGGTCACCGAGATCGTGCGATTTGACCCCGTTAGACTCTTTCTTGTGAGGGAGAAAGAGAGAGATGGAAAAAGAAAGAAACGGAGGGAGATATATTGAACTTAAAGAGTCACGTCAATTATTTATTATAATACCAAATCTCACTTAGTTTATTATAATTATTAGACCATTGCTAAAAATATAAAAAATGTTATTTCTTCTACAGGTAGTCAAAAATCTCGTCTTCATAGCTAAATTGTTGCAAAATCTTCCAGTGTCAGAGAGTAAACCAAATCTGTTGTGGTTGACAAAACGTATGCGCAAAATAGTCAATACGGAAATAGTGGAGAATGCTGTAAGTACAACATTGAGGACTGAAGTGTTTAAATGGATAGCCGGAGTTGCTGCAGCTGTAGAAATTGAAAATATTTTACCTATACTACATCATTTAGTAGCACCATTGGTAAGTTTAAAGCTTTTCTAGTGTTCATTAGAGTATATATATATATATATATATATATATATATATATATATATATATATATATATATATATATATATGTATATTAATAAAGTATTCAACTAGTGAATTCAGAGGTTTATTCGGTCATTCAAGTTGGCAAAATAAAAAACAGAAGTCAACTACTTCATAAGTTTATAGAAGACGTTTCGCTTTATACTTCTAAAGCTTCATCAGTTCTAACTCAATATGTAGTATTAAATATGTTATTGTATATGTACTTAAGTTTACTCATAAATTTAGAACTAACTTAAAAAAAATTAAACAGAAACATGCAAAAAATAATATTCGCAGAAACGAAGATTTACAAAAACTTTAAAGGTACATTTGGCTTCATTTAGAGATAGTTCTCCAATGAAGACAAACAAAACACTTTGAGTGTTTGAGTACCTATTGGAAAATACTTGCAATATTTGAAAATATTGGATAAGTTACGCCACAAGTTGCGCCAGATGTAGGCAACGTACTATTACTAGTTGCGTTGAACGCAGTATTGAACATATTTGTATGGTTTAATAATTGATTCATATTATATTCATTTTAGGTACGAGAATTAGCTACTACAGAAGAGAAAAATGCTCCCTTGAGGCATCTATCCAAAGAAGTATCAACTCTAATAAAAGCAAAAGTCGGCGTCGAAAAGTATACTGAGACTATAACGAAACAACAGCAATATCTATCTATTAAGAGAGCAGAAAGAAAACGGTCGAGAACGCAGCTGGCTGTGACCGATCCAGAGAGTTTCGCCAAAAAGAAAATCAAGAGACACGAGAAGAAGAAAGATGCCAAGAAAAGAAAGATAGAATCGTTGAAAGGAACAAAGAGGAATTTTAAGCGGCGAAAAACTACGATTGATTTAGAAAGTTCCGAAATTATTTAAATTAATATCTGTGATAAATCGATTTAGTTTTTTAATTTAATTTTATAAAGTATTGTTAAAAATATCTTTGAATAAAATAAAAAATAAAAATTCTTTTTATTTCGTGTTTTTTTATTTAGACAAAATATCTCTATCCGACAATAATTTCAGTACAATTTTACACAGCTTGAACGACTTAAGATAAAATAATAAATAAAAAAGAAGGGTATAAACTGGTAAAGAGGAAATACAGAGAATATATTAATAGTAAATCAACATTTATTACATTATCGTGGGGGTCTAATGCAAAAGAATGTAGTAACTATCGGATATCTAGTCTAATGAACCACACATTTATAATTTTCCTCAAATTTATACATTTAAGAATGTATAGGAAACTGGAACAAGATATTGGTGAATCACAGTTTGGTGAATAATCACAGACACGAAAACTTTCAAGCCACCACAATAGCACTCGAAGAAAGACGCACCAATTACAAATGTCTACAATACCGGGTAGTAAATCGCCAAACGGGCCATAGCAAACCAAATGGGAAATTCAAAATTGTTGAATTCTTGCTTCCCTAATTATTTTACATCAAAAGCCATAGAAAACTATTTGTAGAGGACTGAAATCTGTATTAAAAACGAATTTTAAAATTGTTCTATGAGTTAAGCGTGCTACAAAATTTTGCAAAAATGTAATACATTTTTCATGCCACCCCTTAAATTCAGGCCACAGGCGGTACAAGACTGTGTATGACATGTTGCGTTTGGTCATATTGATGGCTGTACGATGATATGTGAATTGTCAATATTTTTATTTTATGATTAAATTAAGTATAAACAGGAAATTTTCACAAATATTACTACTAGTGAACAATAAATAGTACTTTGTAAACAATAAATTATATGGTTTACATCATTAAGTTGATGAAACGTACTCAGTTCACGAAAAATTGTTATAATGTTGTATTCAGGCAATAGTGCGAACACTGCCAAATCTTTATTTAAGATATTATCATGATACTATGAACTAAAGATAAACCCACGCACACGCGAGCAGTCGTGTGACGTCACTTGGCGACAAATGTTAACAGAAATATTCTGTGTTGTAAGGAGTTTTGTCAGATTTACACTTCATCTAATTTATATAACGATGTACGTCATCGGCGTCATAGCCTGTGAAGTCACATGATACCAACACGAAATATTTAGACGGTAGGTGTGATCTTTTTTAGAATTACTTTACCGAGTACACTGGCATTACAGCCACTAGACATATTTTATTATATACGCGTAGAAATAATATTTAAAAATTTCTATTAATGTTACCTTAAAGAAATACACAATAATATGTTTCATTTAATTTGTATAAATGCATTATAAAGCATTTTTCTCAAGAACATTTGTTCGGAACACACTGTAACTGTAATCGAACGAAGATAAAATTTTAGCATAAATTGGTAACACTTACTTGACAGTTGCGGTGTTGACATTTTTTGTACTTTATTATTTTGAATTTTAAAGTGAATGTCTCTTGTTTTATATTTTTAACTATTTAATAAAATCTGTTCTTTTTAGAACAAAATTAGTGTGTTTTATTTTAAAAATATCATTTAAGAATTTTAATAGTCAGTGTAAAGAGATGGCAATACTGTTGCAATCATTATGTGACCTATTTGATTTAAAATGGATTCAGGATTTTTTTATGCTTTGGCAACTATGTCAACTTCGATCTCTGACGTAGATCATGACGTAAGTCGTTATCTAAATTAGATGAAGTATACTATTGTTTTATCGTTTATCTTGTACGCTGACATCGGTTTACTGGGTAAAGCATCTTTCCGAAGGAGCTTAATCCATATCCAGATTTTTTTTTTTTTTTTTTTTTTTTTTAATTGAGTTTAATGCGTCGACAACTAATGGTCATTGGCATGGTAAAGTGTACAGTGAATTTTTACAGTAAGGTGTGTAGTATGTGTGTGTGTGTAGAGTAATTATCTTGATACTTAGCAAAGTCGACGTCATTGTCTTTGCTAAGAGACGCTAATTGTATCCGAACGTCTGCGGTCACTCCGGTGAGATTTTTAATTAAATGTAATGAACTGGACCATATTTTTTAACAATTTTAACAAATTGTCATTAAAATTAACCAAGAATTATTTAAAATCGCTAATGGATTTAGCTGTGTTTAGATGTAATGTTAGTAAACGTTAAGTTCAGATGTCAATCATCTTTTTTTAGGTGTAAATTATATTTTAAAATTAGAAAACTGAATAGATATATTAAAGAAACATCCAAAGTTAAGAAGAAGAAAATATTAAAAATTGTAAAATAAATTGTTAAATAAACTTGTAAATTATTACAGTGTACTTTATTTTATCAGTTGTATTAAATTTTTATTTTAATAAATCAATCCATTGTATATAAATTTCCATTTCCAAAAGGATGTTTAGTTCCTACTTTTTTATATAGTTTTATTATATATTTAAATTCTATTAATTTACATTGCTAGGCTAACAGAGATGTATATATAACATATTTTTAAGTTTTAATTTCAGTTATTTTACCTAACATCCCTAAATATTTTAAATATCCTCTTTTTCCATATATGTTTTACCGACTGTGATGATAAAAGGTTGGTGATAAAAGTGGAACTTTTATCACCAAGTGACGTCATGCGCGTCGACGTACAAAATTCGATTGCGAAGTGGGTTTATCTTGGAAGTCTTAGTAACATGAGATATTATTAATATACTCCAAGTCAATTCCAGGTTATTGTGCGCAGGGCATCTGAAACCAAATTTCTTCTTCATCTGGAGCTATTTCTGAAAGTGTGGGTAAAATCTCTTTTTGTAGCTCTTTGTGTAAAAGTATAAAATTTTTAGAATTTAAATTTTCCTCATAGAAAAAACGGTTCAATAATATCGTGTCTAAATATTCCTAACAAGACATTTATTTTTCGACGATTTTAGGTATCATCATCACCATGCAACCTCTTCTGTCATCGGCTGGACATAGGTTTCTCCCATTTTTCGTCACTCTTCACGGTTCAGTGCTTAGTCGTTGCCATTTCTTGGATATTCGTCTAATGTCGTACATCCAGCGTGTTGGTGGTCGTCCTCTGCTGCGTTTGTCTTCTCGTGGGCACCAGTCAATTAGTTTTCTGGTCCATCTTGTGTACACTTGATTTTGGATGATTAGGTGTTCGCTGTTAACTAACTTTGTAATAAATTTGGTCTTACAGATGTTCATTTTTAGAACTATTATTGAAGATACGTTTTCTAATTCTTGTAGCATTTGTTGTGCTTCACCCAGATCTTCGGTAATAAGTACTATGTCGTCGGCAAAACGCTAATGATTGAGCAGTTCTCCATCTATTTTTAATCCTCCATTTTCCCACTTTAGTATTTTAAAGGCGTATTCGAGGACCGTTATAAATAATTTAGGTGAGAAAGTGTCGCCCTGTCTCACACCTTGCTTAATATGAATTTCTCTGGTGTTATCATGTAGTTTTACACGCATTGTGGCGTTTTGGTATAATGTTTGTACTAACTTTGTAAGCCGGTCTATTCTACTATTGTTCAGCGCAGTTATAATGCTGTCAAATTCCACAGTGTCGAATGCTTTGTGAAAGTCTATGAAGATAAGTACCAATGGCCTGTTATATTCTAGCGACTTTTCTAATAAGGTTTTTACTGTTTATAGGTGATTTACCGTTTGTTCTGAATTTTGAGCGGAAGCCAGCTTGTTCTCGGGGCTGGTAGAAATCTAACTTTTTCTTTAATCTTCTCGTAATTATTCGGGTAACCATTTTATAGATCTGGTTCAATAAGCTGATTGGTCTATAATTTTCTAGGTGCGCCTTGTCTCCTTTCTTGTGTAGTAAAATTGTTACTGCATTGTTCCATGTTTTTGGTATGCAACAATCTGTTAGACAAAGGTTAAACAACATTTTTATTTGGTTGAGAAGGGCACGTCCACCCATCTTTATAGCTTCTATTATGACTCCATCTTCTCCTGGCGCTATGTTGTTTTTCATCTTTTTCATTGCGTCCTGGAGTTCACTTAATGTGATCTCTGACATGAGCTCTGAATCCGGGTTGATAATTTTGCGTGATGCGGCGGCTTCCAAGTTCTTTTGGTCTTCTCTTTGGCTTGTGTATAGTTCTTCATAGAAATCTTCCACTATGTGTAGTAGTTCTTCTCTATTTGATGTGTTCTTCTTTGTTCTTTAGGTTGTGTATTTCACATTTTCCATTGTTTAGTCGTCTTCTTAGGACTTTTAGACTTTTATTCTCTTCTATAGTTTACTCGACTTTTTCATTCTTAAATTTCCTTAAATATTTCCTTATAGCTTTTGATATTTCTTTGTTTATTTTTCGCAGTTCTTCTTCGTCAATGATTTCTTTTCCTTTTATTTTTCTTCTAGTTTCCATTAGTTACTTTGTTTCAATGGTTATTTTTTCGTCTTGGCGTCTTTTAGGCCAGCATTTTACTTGAGCATCTCGAATAACTTCTACGATATTTTCGTATTATAGTTTATGGCATTTAAATTATTTATGCATTCATTTTGTCGTAGGATTTTATTGATATTGCCTTGGCATTCATTTAAATTCGTTGAGTTGTTCCATATTGGGTTGGCTTTCTTCCTAATCATTTTGGATCTTTCTGTTATCAAGTCTAATTTTAGTTTGACTCTTACCATTCTATGATCGCTGTCTGTGGTAAAACTAAATGTCAGTAATTATGTAGTCTATCTCGTTTTTGGTCTTACCATCTGGGCTTTTCCACGTCCATTTTCTGTAATCTTTTTTAGGGAAAAAACTATTCATCTGGTATAGATATTGTTGTAATAGAAATTCTAGTAGTGTTTGTCCATGTTCGTTTCTGCCTTTGGATCCAAATTTACCTAGTGCTGTTTCCTGTACAAAAATGTGAATGGGACATCAGTGACTCCCAGTTCAGGTTTAGTCACGGTTTAGGAACACGAGAAGCAAGAGTAGCAACTCAGGTGC